AAACTGTTCAAACACGGTCTTGTTTTATTTTTTTCTATTTTTTTTTTCTATTCGAATAACTAAATATAATGTCTCTGAGTGCTGGCACCATTTAATAGCATCTCAGAGGACTTTGAAAAAGCAGTAAATATTTTCTGGCCGGGTTCTAAGCATATGAAGAGTCCAGGGGAATAACGATTATAGTCGTTAACAAACTGCGAAAGTTTATGCAAATTCATAATTTCAAATACTAACATCTAAAAATTAAAATGGAGCAGAATTTGGAATTCTCTGCTAGAGGCTTTACTACGTTAATAATAACATATAATAGTACTAAATTTTATTATTTACTAAATTAAATTAAATTAATTATTTTTATTAAATTTAAAAGATGCTATAATTGAATAAACATCCGCAGTCTAATGGTTACAAAATTTTTTCAGTTGGACAAAAGGCCCCAATTACTGTCAGTGTCTCTAATACTGCCAGTTTACTTATTTTACTTAATGAAACTGTAACGTATAAAGAATTGTGTACAAAACATCTTGTTACTAAATTGGGACTCTGGTAATTAAAGTTAAAAAATGGAAGTGTAATATTAAGCGTCAGACATGCGACTACGTAAGCAAAAAAAAGCCGTAACTTACATTATTATTAATATTATATTATATGATTATGGAGCAAATAAAACACAAATAAATATAGGTAGACTGCATCGCTGAGAATCATCGAGTTGAATTTTGACCATTTTCCCTCAAACCAAGGATTCCTTGGCCCTTTATTTTTCTGTCCAGGGATGATTCGTGACTGGAAATGACTCGATTAATAACAAATGAAGATATATTGTACAGATTACTTTTAACGAGCGATCCTTATACAGGGTGGGGTAATAACTATGTCCACTTTGAATATTGCCGTTATTTGTAATAATATGAAAAAATGTTGTATACAAAACTTATACAGTATAGAGGGGGGAATATTGTGACACAAACATTTTCTGCGTGGATGGAGGCATAGAGGAGATTTCAAGGTCATCTCTATTTTTTTTTAATGGAATGCTATGTTTTTTTAATAAAATAAACTTTTTGACACTACAGGAGATGCTCGAAGTGGTGACCCTTTGCGTCAATGCAAAGTTGCAATCTTCGTATCGCTGCATCATAATTGCAACATGTGCTGGAATAAGTTCAGAAACGATAAGACATGCACGTGTTGCAGCGATACGAAGATTGCAACTTTGCATTGACGCAAAGGGTCACCACTTCGAGCATCTCCTTTAGTGTGAGAAAGTTTATTTTACTACCACATTTGACCTTGCATGACCTTCAATGATAGCTCGCTGAAGTCGACTCAACACCGGCTATCACATCGGGATAAAAAAAACATAGCACTCCATTAAAAAAAATAGAGATGACCTTGAAATCTCCTCTATGCCTTCACCCACGCAGAAAATGTTTGTGTCACAATATGCCCCCCTCTATACCGTGTAAGTTTTGTATATAACATTTTTTCATATTATTACAAATAACGGCAATATTCAAAGTGGACATAGTTATAGCCCATACCCTGTACATCTAACATGCGACTAAGATCGTATACAAAAAAAAATTAAATATTTAGATCCCGAAGCTGTGGAATTAATAACTAAATAATAATATTGTTAAAATAAAATTATTATCAGTTTTTCTTTAACCTATTTGTTACTTAACATTAATATATTATTGATTCTAAATTTCGTCTCAATATCTCTTATGGTTCAAAAGTTATAGAAAAATGTCGCTCAATTTTCCGATCCAGACCACTGTGCGCCGATATCCCCAGGTTCATTCTTGTCCTCCATCAACAGGTCTTATTAGCCCCCGTCGTTTAATTCCCCCGGCCTACGCCCCGTGGAACACAAGAGCCCAGTAACCCGCATCCATCGAACGCAAACTGTCGTCTTCGCCATCACGGTCGAAGCAGGTCTATTGCACGGTGGATGACAATGAACGAGAGAACTGGAAAATAAAGGTGTACCGTTACAGGCTAACAGCTGCCTTTGAGGATGCCACATATACACGCGTACACCGTGCACACTTTAAAGAACCAAGCCAGTAGAGACCAGCTTCTATTCTATAGAATATAAAATAATCTAGCCTCGACTCTGAATCCACAAAAATTTACGTTAATACAAATTTTTCATACTTTCTCAGTAGATTTTTGTAGACATTCTCAAGTGTGACTTTGTCGAAGGTCCTTCAATATTTCAAGGAAGTTTTACTTGAAATCCATGTTCTGATTGTAGATCCAGAAGCTAGGCAACAGCACTCTAAATCCAATGAAATTTATATCGATACAAATTTTTCGTACTTCATCAGTACATTTTTGTAGACATTCTTGATTGTGACTTTGTCGAAGGTTCTTCGATGTTTCAAGGACGTTTCACTTGAAATCCATGTTCTGATTGTAGATCTAGAGGCTGGGCAGCAACACTCTAAATCCAATGAGATTGATATCAATACAAATTTTTCGTACTTCCTCTGTGGATTTTTGTAGACATTCTTGATTGTGACTTTGTCGAAGGTCCTTCAATATTTCAAGGAAGTTTCACTTGAAATCCATGTTCCGATTGTAGATCTAGAGGCTGGGCAGCAGCACTCTAAATCCAATGAAATTTATATCAATACAAATTTTTCGTATTTCCTCAGTGGATTTTTGTAGACATTCTTGATTGAGACTTTGTCGAAAGTCCTTCAATATTTCAAGGACGTTTCACTTGAAATCAATGTTTTGATTGTAGATCTAGAGGCTGGACAGTAGCACTCTAAATCCAATGAAATTTATATCAATACAAATTTTTCATACTTCCTCAGTAGACTTTTGTAGACATTCTTGATTGTGACTTTGTCGAAGGTCCTTCGATGTTTCAAGGACGTTTCACTTGAAATCAATGTTCTGATTGTAGACCTAGAGGCTGGGCAGCAGCGTCTACGCCTATGTTTATAGAGGGTTGTAATTCGAGACTCGCTTCGAAGGGAGAGTGGGGTAAAAGTGGCTACCCTAGGCCATACCTGCGAAAATCTATTCAGTTCGGTACTCGTCTAGTGCAGAGACTACACGTCCCCCTCGATTCGGCGACGTGCGATCCACCGGAACGTTGATCCTCCGACACGTTGATCCTCCATTCGGACGTCTTTTCGGTTGGCACGGCAGTGTTCGTCGTTACTTCAGTTGTTCGTGCGTCGTTTCACTCGATTTTTCTTGTTTCTGATAGTTATATCGTCGTATGTATGTGTACACGTGAATATATGTGTGCACGTGCAGAGTTTGGAGGGTGTTATGGATCCTTGCGTGATCCTCGCGTGAACGGACTTCCGGTAGTCTGCAGGAGCCTCCGGGAATTCAGGTAGAGCGATTTGCGTTCATATTTTTTGGGAATAAAAATTGGAGATTCATTATTGAGAAGAGATTGGAAATTATTACATTGTTTTGTATTTGGCAAAACGCGATTAGTAGATTGAGGATGTTTATGTAAATATTAATTTTCATGAATGAGTTCAGAAATATTAGTCAGAGGAAAATCAATTTCTATATTTCTTGGGAAATAAATTGGAGATTCATTGTTGGGGAGATATTGAAGCTTATCATTGTATTTGGGAAAACTTTAATAGTAGATTCAGGATATTTATTCAAATATCAATTTTCATGAATGAGTCCAGAAAAATTAGAGTCAGAACTAAATCAATTCCTATATTTTTTGGGAAATAAATTGGAGATTCATTGTTGGGAAGATATTGAAGCTTATCATTGTATTTGGGAAAACATTACTAATAGATTCAGGATATTTATTCAAATATCAATTTTCATGAATGAGTCCAGAAAAATTAGAGCCAGAGGAAAATCATTTCCTGTAATGTGAGACTGTATTAAGACTAAAGTGTGTATTTAACAAATTGATTTTGCTGTAATTGCATAATATCTGCAAGTCTAGTGATGAGTAGCCTGGAGATCTTTGTGCAGATAACAAATTTTTATTGATTCGTGTATAGAAGGGTTTCTTAACGCTTTATTTGCCGGTAGCTTATTAATAGGCTTTTAAATTTCAGTGTTTATAGATAAGTAGTCTATATTACCCTTAGATTGGGGTTACAGAACAAAATGTTACGTTATTTTGTTCAAGTTTTTGCGATTTTCCGTGAATGTGATTTGCTACTGTGATATTGAACTGTTTAATAATAGTTCCTCATCTGTTGATCGTTGGATCTACTAATATAATAAATAACAACCTGTAGATAATGTGTTAAGTTAAATCTGAAATCTGAGCTTAATCAAGTTTTGTTTGTATTGTTGTGTGCACTTGCACATATCATAAATGAATTAAATGCACAGTATAATGAGATTTGAATATCATCAAGTCATTAAAAATGTATTGAACTTGATGAATTAAAGTACATTGAAATTCGATGTTTCTGACCTGGGTCAAGTTATGCAAAAATTAACCAACCCTCAAAATGACAAAAAATTAGTTAAACACAGTAGAAGTTCCATAATTTTGTGATGTGTATTTTGCAAAAAATTACCAACCCACAGAACAACTCTTACATTGTACAATTATTAAAACTACCAAGCTATAGAAAATTAAAATCAACTATAGGAAATGTAAAATAATATTAATTATACATTATAATTAAAAAGCATTGTTAAACAACAAGAAGAAATAAAATATAACCAACAGAAATAATGATATTTTGTCTTTTTAAATTAAAACTTCAAACTGGATGTACTTCGTTTCGGATTATTGAGGGTTGATAGCTTTCTGCATAACTTGGCCCAGTTGTCAGTGGAAAATGATTGATTCTGTTACTTAAACAGGCATGAAATAAATTTTTTATTTCATTAATTGGCAATTAATGAACTAATTTTATAAAAACAAGAATTTCTTCTGTTAATAGCTTCAGAAGTTACAGTATGAATTAGTTTTCATTTGATAATCTGTAAGAATAATACAGTGAAGTCAATCCTCGGTTTATGTTGTTTTTCAGGATGGATGTACCATGTCATTGACTGTACTATATTGGGCATAACTAGACAGCAGAAGCAAGCGATTGCTATTCACTGTCTTCAAAAGTCTATCGAGGCAGAACCGAAGAGCGGCCAAAGCCTTTATCTGCTGGGACGTTGCCTTGCTGCTTCTGGAAAAGTTCATGATGCATTTATTGCTTATAGGTAATTTAATGACAGAAATTCGTTAAAACTCTGCTGTACACACTGAATGGGCTGCAATATGTTCATACAAATGTACAATTCCTTAAACAATTTTACAGAGGAATTAAATTAAAAGTACCATCTAGTTTTATTAATCTGGTTAAAATTTTGTATGTGGTGTGGTACGCACAATCTGCTAAAATTATGTGAAATCTGCAATCTGATCATGAACAGAATTGAATAGAGACACACTGTGTAAAACAATAAAATGAAACCTTTAGTCGAGTTTAATGATGGTTTTTTACTATCATAAATTTACAGTGAATATTTGTTCTTAGAAATTAACCGTTAAAAAGTTCAAATTGGATTGCCATCCACAGTCTACGGATGAGAATTACAACGTATAGAATTGTAGGGAATTAGAAAACTTAAAATCCCACAGAATTTTTTAAAAACTATGAGTTTAAAATTGAGAGGAATTACAGAATCTATAAAAACCGTGTCATGAGTTGATGCATCAGAATCTAATCCAGAACTATTAACCCTTTCAGACTTGAATTTTCTTCCAAGAGTAAAAAAAAATTTGATTACACATTTTAAAAAAGATTTATATGTCCCATCATTTTGTAGATATTAAATATACACACATGTGTACATTAGGACTCAAGTATGGCATGACACCTACGAGAGCACAAATGTGGAAAGAAATATACACAGCAGTTTATAACACAATAATAATGTATTAACACTTGAAACTGAAGGTGTGTGGAAAGTTGTACTGCTTTCGAGTTCCTACTATTAGCTGTCACTGTCCAGTATGTAATCAATGTTATATAATTCTGAATTCACTAGACCTACTAAACACATTCAGAACATGAAAAAATTCAAATTTATAAGAAATCTATGGATCTACAACACACTGTACCTACGACTTTGTGTGAAATTGCAAGAAACATCATGTACATAAATGTGACCACCAGGTCTGAAAGGGTTAAAACAATTATACGCTGATCGGATATCAGTACATGACTCTTTATCTCCAAGAATCTAAGTTTTACCTCGTTGCAATATAATGCTCCATAACTCCTTTCAAGAAATAGCTTCAGATTTTCAGCTATTAATTATTATATCAGTTACTAATTTAACTATCCATTGTTGCAGAAATTCTGTGGAAAAGTCAGAAGGAAACGCTGACACGTGGTGCAGCATAGGCGTTTTATACCAGCAGCAGAACCAGCCTATGGATGCTCTGCAAGCTTATATATGCGCAGTACAGTTAGATAAATCACATTCGGCTGCGTGGACTAATCTCGGCATTTTGTACGAAAGCGTTAGCCAGCCTAAAGACGCACTAGCTTGTTACGTCAACGCATCCAGGTAAAATAAAGGCGCAGACATGCACTTTTTTACCATACGGATATGTGTATGAGGAACGTTTTCTTTCGGAAGCAATTCTTTCAGTTTTTAACGTTCCCCTTACAACGAGTTCAAGTTGCACTTATTTGCACTCCCTTACATTAGCTACGACACTGTATAGTTGTACATTCTTTAGCTTTACTAAATGACATTGAATCGTTGATCACCTTATTCCATTTAGTGCAGCATACGTAGGATTAACCACTTGAGCAGTGCAAATTTTGTGAGAAAATTGGTGCAAAACACAAAATTCTATCCAGGATATTTTTCTGAATGTACATGTACATGCCCTGTCATTTGTTGTTACATAAATACATATATGATTGTTTCATATGTTTCAAGTGGTTAACGTCTTTGAATAATTTGATCAGAAAGCTTAACTTAACCCTGAGTCCCGGCACTTGTACATGTTACTTATATATAGCACACATTTTATTGTCTTCAATATAACTCAGTAGTGAGTATATTGTTCTCGATCTGGAATAAAATGTAATCAAAATGATATACATTATTGTGTCAATCTATTCTTACTTTATTAAACTATAAAGTATAAAATGTGACTGTCTGAAAGTATACAACAGTGTTCCAAATGTGGCGATTCAACCCAAAGGATAATGATTCAACGTGAAAAAATATATCAATAATCTAGAATGAATCTGTATATTGACTATGTCAAGTACACCATTGGATACTAGAGATCTACCTGGTTAATATTTCAATTTATTATCTTCAGAATAAAAACTATTCTAAAAAAATTTTATTCCACATTTTCACGCATTCTTTCCTGTAGAATGAATACCCTCTGAGTTGCACCATCAAACAAATTATGCTCTGTACATTACTGTCCTATGACAAAAGCCATGTACTTCTTCGTTTTGCTGTCTCTGGCAAAATATTGAATTTATAAAAAAGTACAGAGATTTCATAAAATTCATCTGCTTGTAACAAAGCACGTTTAGCCCATGTCCTCACTGCCAGTAATTATATTCATTGTACTAGTTGTGTATGTTTACTCTGTCCCAGAAAGCGCTCCATTTTATGGTGCGCCAAACATGTGTGTAACATGTGAAGAGAAATTTGTAAGTCGAAAGACGGGTCAGCGTTTAAAAGAAAAAAAAAAGAGAAAATTGAATAGGGGTGAAAAGTTGACCTGTCTAAACAGTTTGGGGGATTGAGGTTAAGACGGTCGCGTTATTTTCTTGTTTAGAGGTAACAACAACACACCGACTTGCACAGGCTCACTGGCCGGCTTGGGTGGCGCTAAGTCTGGTGGTAACACCCCGATGAACCCATCCCTTCAACAGAGGATAAACTTCCTGCAGAGTCACTTGAGCCAAGCACCGATGCCTTCCGTCGCCACCAAGTAAATTCATTAACTGTTAAAACCCCTTAATGGACATACAGTGACTCATTGATTTGTTCATGTAGGACTATTGTTCTTGGGGAGATTGTATAAAATTAATCAAAATTGTAAAAGATACATGCAATTTCAAAGTCACCTTCAAGTGCCTGTTCTCTTCGTGTGAACAGTCAAACTTTTTAATATGGGTATATTAAAAAGTTAATCAGTATATCGTTCAATTGTTATGAACCCTTTAATTTCTATAGTTGATTGTTATTTTCAGTATATGATAACAAATTGCTGAGTCACTGTGTAAGTTCCAAGCAATCGAAGCTGGAAGAAACTTGGTGGATAAGTTTATTGGATAGCACTCAGGAATATTACATTTCGAAAATATGACAGTTGGAGCACTTCATATGATATAATACCTGATATTAACAATTATAATATACTACAGCTTACTGTTGCAGTTCTCGAGGTTTAATGTTGAAATTCAGTATTATTTGCTTACGATTCTTGCAGCGATTTAAATGTTAAGTATCTGCCGGAATTAATAATAAAATACAAGTTTTTTTTTTGTTGGTTTGGCTAAGTGTTATAATATGAAAAGAATGTTTTCAGAACTTTATTATAACAATGCACTCCAAATGAATAGATAAACTAAGTTACTCTGTTGAATATCTTTTTATTGTTATATACACTACAGGAAACTCGTATTTTATGTGAAATAGTTTCTCAACAATTCGTAATATTTGGATGCGTTTAAGTATTTTCGAATCGTGACATTAGATTGTGAAACCAAGGAATGGATTGGTTTCACAACAAAGACTTCTACGTTATGACTCATCTCAGTGAAAAATCTCTAGTGATAGTAATATCTTAATGAAACTATAAATAGTTAATTCTTAATTGTACAAAAAGATAATTTGTATAACATTAAAGTGCAAGTTGAAAGTTTCGAGAACAGTCAAATTTACGTATTACACAATATTGTACAAAATGTAAATAACTATTGGAAATAAAATATATTTGTCTTTCACTACAATTAGTTTTTAATCACAATATATCTGACATACTTATAATAGTAAGACAATATTATAAAGGATCTATTTCTGTTTGTTTTTTTTTTTTAGTTTTAATTATCTTCAGTTTTTTCTTTTACACTGCATAAAGCGACCGTTGTAAAGGTTCTGTTTCTAATAGTGAATGATTACCAAAAGAAAGGTCTGAGAATGTATGACACGCTCATTAACAGATATTTCTGTTTTTAATGAAGGAGGCGGCAATTGCCGTCTATAGAAGAGGCTTGGAACTTACCCATCAGCGCTGAGATGTCTAGCAGGCAACAGCAACAACAACAACCACCAAGTGGCCCAGGCTACAAATATGGTACCACACCTTCTGGTCCGCCACCTCCTTATCCACAGGGGCAAGGACAGAATCTTAACACAAAAAGATTCAAAGTAAATCCTCACTGCCAAATTATAAAAATATTAAATATCACCAATCTTTCTTTCTCTTCAAGTAATAATAACACGAATGAAACTTGTAGCCCGGAGAAGAGCCAGTTTCACCGGGTGCACCGCAAAGGCCACCACCATTTTACCTTTCATCGCAACAACTACAGATGCTACAGTTCCTCCAACAAAATCATGGAAGTTTAACGCCACAGCAACAGGGTCTGCTGGCTCAGTTGCAGCATCAATATAGATCTATGCAGCAACACCAGCAGCAGCTTAGGATACAGCAACAGCAAGCTGCACAAAGAGGTTTGAGGCCTGGACAGCCCGGTTACCCCACTGGATATAATCATGCACAGTTGGCCCAGCCGGGTGTTATTAAAAATTATGGAATACCTCAACAGCCAGTACGTATTTTTCTTAACCTATATTCAAATTAATATTACGTTCCCTAACGTTTACATGTTTCTTTTGTTCCCATTACAGTTGCAACAAGGTGGAACTGTTGCACTGCAGACAGGATTCTCGGAATCGAACGTCGGTTACAACACGGCGGCGACCGGGAATAGCCAGACACCGGGAATGCCTTACAAGTCCGCCTCTGACCCGAATTTCCCGCAACGACAAATGGCGCCCGGTGGCCAGTTCAACCAATACCAGCCCAATCAGTACACCGCCCAGGGTTACACTCAGATTTCATCGACAACGAGCAACTATCCCGAGGGATCCGCCGGGAACAAAGACTTGGGTGTCACGGACCAAGAACTACAGGCGCTGTTATCGCAGAAGGATATCGCGACATCGCTGGCGGAAGATCTGTTGAAGCATTTCGGTTCCGAGGACCTGGACGTGAAAGAGGAGTCACCGAGTATCATGAATAATGGTACTCTAAGCTCGGGTCCGTTCTCACCGTCCAACTTGGAAGAGAGCAACGAGAAGATCAAAGAGGTGAAACTGGAGAAGGTGGACGACACGCAGCCGTCGTCCACGTCGAAATTGGAAACGTACGAGAAGAGTAACGCGAAGACACCGTCCACGGTGGAGACCGTGAAATGCGAGGCAACGTCCAGTACAAATAAAATCGAATCCGTTGCCCGGGTCGAGCCGGTGCTCAAGTTGGAAAGCTTGTGCGAATCACAGCCCGAGCAGAAACTAAGTATAGACATGGACGCGAAGACAATTATCGAGGCGTGCAAGGGCCAGGGACTGAAAGGCGTGCCGAATTGTTCCATTCTCAGCGATCGTTCGCCACCGCCAGCGCCACCGGATCCACCGAACCAGAGGCTAACCAAGGAACAACTTTTGCCACAAACACCTAGCGTTTACTTAGAGAATAAGAAGGACGCGTTTGGTCCACAGTTGCAGGAGTTCTGTCTGAAGCACCCGATAGCTGTGATTCGAGGCCTGGCAGCCGCTCTGAAGCTGGACCTAGGACTGTTTTCGACGAAAACACTAGTGGAGGCCAATCCTGATCACGGCATCGAGGTTAGGACGCAAATGCAGCAAACTAGCGACGAAAATTGGGATCCTGTGATGAGTAGAAAAGTTTGGGGATGCATAAGTCACAGGAGCCACACGACCATTGCGAAGTACGCACAATACCAAGCTTCGAGCTTTCAGGAAAGCTTGAAGGAAGAGAGAGAGAAGGCTCAAGGTATACACACCTCTAATCTATCCGACTCGGACTCCAAGGACAGCACTGGTGCTGTCAGGAGGAAGAAAAACGCGTTCGGATTGGCTGGTCGACCCGGCGCGAAAATGTTGCGATTTGGGACCAATGTAGACTTGTCGGATGAGAGGAAATGGAAGCCTCAGCTTCAAGAGCTGATGAAGTTGCCAGCGTTTGCAAGGGTTGTGTCGGCCGGAAATATGCTCAGCCATGTTGGCCACGTTATTTTGGGAATGAATACTGTTCAGTTGTACATGAAGGTCGGTGTTCTTTGGTTTTAGTCGATTATTAGAATTAATTCAGCACGAAAGACATTCTGTAAAATCTTACTGACTTTTTATAGGTGCCTGGTAGTAGGACACCTGGTCATCAGGAGAACAACAACTTTTGTTCCATTAATATCAACATTGGACCAGGAGAGTGTGAATGGTTTGCAGTACCTGACGCATATTGGGGCGTGATTTGTGCTCTTTGCGAGAGAAATAATATTAATTACCTTCATGGCAGTTGGTGGCCTTCTTTAGAAGATCTGTACGAGGAAAATATTCCCGTGTACAGGTTTCTACAAAGGCCGGGTGATCTCGTCTGGGTTAATGCAGGTGAGCAGATTGTTAAATTGATACAACTTACCTAATATTGAGTGAGATTTGTAAAGCATATTTGGATATAATGGAATAAAAATTATATAAATGGAATTTTTCTATCAGGTTGTGTACATTGGGTACAAGCTGTTGGGTGGTGTAATAACATCGCTTGGAATGTGGGTCCTTTAACGGCTCGTCAATATCAATTGGCAATTGAACGTTATGAATGGAATAAATTACAGTCGTTCAAGTCCATTGTACCAATGGTGCACTTGTCTTGGAACTTAGCCCGTAATATCAAAGTGTCGGATCCCAGACTGTTCGAATTGATTAAAAATTGCCTCTTAAGGACAATGAGACAGTGTTGCTTGATATTAGAATTTGTGAAAAGTAAAGGTGTAGAAGTTCGGTTTCATGGACGAGGAAAGAATGAAGCGTCACATTACTGTGGACAATGTGAGGTAAGATATATTGACACAAACTATCATTAATCCTGTAATTTTCGCTAACCTTTGTTAACCTTTAGCAAAAATGTTATAAGTGTATAGATCTATCCGTGGTGTAGGGCTAAATTATTTCGAATCTAGAGCCAGTCTATCCATCTATATCTATTGGTCTTACTTCTATGATATGTAAAGTAATTTATATGCTCAATCTTGTTTCAGATCGAAGTGTTCAACATCCTGTTCATAAGGGAGCAAGAGAAGCGACACGTAGTGCACTGTATGGACTGTGCAAGGAAACAATCTCCATCCCTGGAAGGATTCGTTTGCCTAGAAGAGTACAGAATGCGCGATTTAATGGACGTTTACGACGGATTTACTCTACACACGTCTATGTCTACTCCCACGTCCGCTCAGTCTGGCCAATCCTCCTGAGGTTACATGCAACACAGATACTTGGACTTCTTGGACACTCTGCAGTGACTTCGACAGTACAATTTCTGTGTTCGATACGGAACTGTAACAATAACCATTATTCAGGTACCTGAGAGCTACTAAGAAAACGGGACGTGGGGGAGAGAAGAAATTGGAAAATTTCGACACGTTGGACCGTATAACGTTGAAGATCCGTTCTCTATTTGCCGATTCTTAAGGCACGCACAAAGTTCAGTATAGTTGCTGAAGCAAATCGGAACACTCTGATCATTAGCACTATTTGTACAGACGATTTTTAGGTTAATGGCCCGAGAACGCAACAATAAGAGAACCGTTTCTAGCTCTCGGGTAGGGTTAGGCCGAAAGCTACGGGACAAAGAAACGAGAGAAGACTGCGTTATATTTGTAAATTACACGATACCCACGTAGTAATTCTTTAAATATGACGTCATCGTCGTGCGAAAGCTTCGCGATAAGACATGCTGGACATAGAGGTTATCATCGAGCTTTGCCCGCGTTTCTTATCGATCTCGTTACACACGGTTATAAACTATAAAGCATGTGTTGTATGCTTGAATGTAGACAATTGTTTTCATTGCTTCTTCGATCGTGCAATTCGAAACATCGATCGAATCGCGACCCGAAAAAAAAAAGAATCAGAATACACGAAAGGTCGTGCATATGAAGGTGGGAATGAAAAGGTCGCAGAAAAAATATTCACTGCCAATTATGAACGTGTAAATGGATTACATTATTTAATGCGAAATCACGAGGGGTATACTGTCGTTAACTACTGTTACGGTTTAGATTACGATTGTAAAGTATCGCAAAGCTGCTCAACCTGTACACTTGTACATTTTTGTAATAAGCGGATCGAGACGGTTAATTGATTTCTTTTGGGGGGGGTTTCTATAGGATGTGTTTTAGCACCGTTACGAATGTCCTACTGCCAGTGGCGCCAAATTCAATTCAGACAACAATGGGGAACGTTTTTCATATCAATGTTTAATGGCAACACGGTGTCTAATTGAGACTCTTTAGGAATAATTGCCGGCAATAGGCTTTTCTACGAATTCGAACGCAGCCGACGGCAGATAGAGAACGCGAAAGTGAACCACGGATAGGCCAAACGGTACAGTGGCATTCGCGACGAATAATCTCGCTTCGAACGAATCAATTATCGCGTTATTGCGGCTCTAAAATATTTGTACGATAAATACGTATGATTTGTATAGCTATTAACTAAGATAGGAACGACTTTCGCGGTTTGAGCAAGAGAACGTGCCGCGAATAGCTTATGGGAACAGCGTTTTCCAATTCCCGGTTTCGTAAATCATGTTCAAAGAAACGGACGAATGACGCGAACAATTTTAGGCGAAGGAATTCGAAATTATGTTTCGAGATTTATTTTTCATCATTTTCAATCGCGACGAGAACAATATATTTATTAGCGTCTAGCGAATTTATTCCAATAAATTTTGAATTGATCTGTACTGTTTAGGGAATTCGAAAGACAAGAAACGAGATTTGTTTTTCGCATTGGCGAATAACTTAACCTTAATTCGATTATCGAATTGTTAACGGAAATTCTTAAGGGAGTTCAAAAAACCGTGCATGAGGATAAAATTGGGAAACGCTAATGTATAATCGTCAATCAGCGGGTAGAGAGAAAGAGATATTATCACGAGGGGTAGAAACAAAAAAAAAACACGCATGCACACAAATATCGTACCTTCAACTCAGTCTCGTCAATTCCACATTGGCGTTTAGCAGCGCCAACTGTACGTGCCAGAAAATAAAGGAAAAGATATTAAGCAGATCTTAACTTACCGCGAGTGTAAAAAGTAATAATGTAATTCTTATTCCGCCGAAAAGATGTATTTTCGCAGATGCATGAGAGAGAGGGAGAGAAAGGGGAGAATATATTCGAAACACAAAGTGAAAAAAGAAAAGAAAAACGAGCAGAGAGCTAGATAGTCCGTACATCCGTAATTGAGATCCATCGGGAATAACGATGTATTTTTTAAAAAAAAAAAATCCTTAGAAATACTAGTTCCGCCGAGATGTTAGTTGACGACGAAACGACAACCGTATTTCTCCTTTTATATACGCGCGCGCGACCAAATTCAACGTTGCGTCATGCAATTGCAATATATACATATATATATATATATATATATATATATATATATTTCTACATAATATTCCGCAATGGCCGTGTGTGTGTAATGCTAGTTTCTGGCCGTGTTAAATCCGCCGTCTAGGATAAAATAAGTCGCAATAGGATTAATTGTACACCCAGGATCGCTGTAATCCTCTAAAGTCAATCGCCATCGTGATTCAGAGCGTAATGACGTGGTCATGGGCGACCAATCAGTTCCGTTGCAACTTCGGTAGACGATCAACAACGCCAACCCAGAAACTCGTATCGAAAAAAGTATTTTAATCCATGCACTCAATGATCTCAACGCATATATGATATATTGGTGGTCGGGTAGCGAAGGTGAACTCTGCCAATATCTCGAACTGACTTGACGACTTCGACTAACATATATATGTATATATAATTATATATAATTATAAAAAATATATATATAATTATATATATAATTTATAAAAATATATTTAATGTAAAAGCTAAGGTTAGGTAACTGTGGCGAAAGTTACGGCAGAATGGACGCGGCTCAAGAGCGTCTATAGTTAGCACGAACGAACCAAGTTGAGCCTGGTTTGCTGTGAACGACGATCGATGATTCCTCGTTGATTCGGATACTGGACAGAAACGATTCGCTTTCTTGGGTCATTCGCGACATGAAACTGTGATCCGAGTGTAATTGACCGAATGGTCCAGGCCAGAAGCTACCGTTACAGCGAGGCAATGATTTAGAGGTTAATTACATTCTGACTACAGCAACGCAGAAATTTCCGGCAAAGTTAGGTCATAGAAGAGCATTAATAATTTACGATAATTTTCTTTTATCACTTTTTAGTAACATATAAATTTTTACCTCCAATGGTCGTCGAACACACTGTGATACACGATTGCTGAGTGTTCTGACGTATCGAAAGGGGCTTTGCTGTTATTTCCACTGCGCTTAAACGGACAAGTGTTTAAACCAGTGCTGACGTGCGGATATAGTGCGCTGTTCGGCGTTTAGTATCCGTGCTCAATAAATATAGTTGTGAGAAGTCCGTACGAACAGCATCTGTAAACACCGGACACGTTGCCAGTGACAGAAGGACCAAGAACGACGTTTCGAAAGTGTGTCCGTCTTACGGGAATCGAGTGTACCCGCACGAGCAAACTCGACTTCTGCTAGAGGAAAGAAGTGACGTAAGAGAAGGGCCTCCTACCACTAAATAAATTTATTTGAGGTACTGAAACAAATGTTAAATCGAATGTTAATTTGTCATAAATTTCAATAATTCCCAATACCAAGTGGCAGGAGACGATTTCCCTAATGCTCTTGGGTGTACCTTCACGACAAAAGTGGCGTAGGGGAAGGGCCTCCTAGCACTTGGTATCAAGAATTACTGAAATTTATGCCAAATAACATTCGATTTAACAATTCTTTCAGTACTTGAAATAAATTTACCAACTGATAGGAGGCCTTTTTCCTACGTCCCTTGTTTCCCTAGCGGAAGCCGTGCTCGTGAGGGTACATGGTACGGGACAATTATTTGTATGTACGCGTTTAATTTCCCGTTAGCAATACGTATTGAAAATTGTACAGAGTCACTTCTGTTTAGGAAAAAAAAATGGTTCGCAGCGCAGGCAAACGAAGTTTGTTCGATTATAATCTTTAATTCATTAGGAAGTTCGAGGCTCCTCGAGCGATAGGAAGCTTCGTTTACGGGTGGACAGTAACGCCACTTAAAGAACACGTTGGAAAAACGTACTATGTTCTCGTAAACTCGCATCTGTCACCCGTGAACGGAGAGCAGTTTAACAAAATTTTTTTTCGACAAAAATTGAACGAAACAATTTTTAGTCTGATTATCGGTGAAAAACGTAAACTCGAGAATAATAAACGTTTTGGAAACTCGAACGAGTGACTCTCGTTGAAGGGTAGAGTTTCTTTTTTCATTTCTATTTTTTTTTTTTTTTTAAATTCGCAGGGGTTAGCATATTATCGTATGCTGCGACCGTGCAGAATGATCTGAAAATCTAGTACATAATTTTGGACAATTGGCAGCATTATCGTAAATAAAATCTCGTGTCCCGAGTGCATCGTACATTTGATCCGAGAACCAATCGTTGCTTTAACGTGAACGTAAATTCAAGAAATCGTTTGACCGAAAGAAAAAGAAGAATCCTCAAAAAACGAAAGGTGTGATGCACTAGATTTTTCTAAACAGCCTGCAGAAGTGTTTTATGTTAGGAGGAATAACAGAACCGCAAAATATTACACAAAATGGCAGAATCAGTTAATGGTAAACCGAGCACGACTTTTAATTCGGTTGATTTCGGTTGATCCTCGGAGAGTTCACGTTTGCCGGTCGACTTCGCGTCTAACCTAAAAAAATCCATCGAATCCTTGGTTCTCGTTCCGAGAACGCATCTCCTCGTATTCGGTGTGAACGTGTAAAGAACCCGTACGATACAACCGACTCGGTAGGTACGTTAACTTATCGTTTAATGAACTGTAAGTAGATGTAAATACAATTTAATCTTCATTTTCGTTTTTGATACGTCGGTGAACAAAGCGACAGGATTATTGTACAGTAATCGCGAACCGTTTATCCTGCGCGAAGAATCCTCGTATTTTGATACTGGCGAAATCCTAGAGTACAGTGTCAGTTTGGTTTCCAAGTTCGAATTTGCGCGCGAAAACTGCTTGAACGAATTAACTGTCCTCGCCGCTCGTTGGAGTCTCCGGTCGAACGTAGAAAAAAATTAAAGACGAAAAAAAATTTCGGTAAAACGGAGAAAGACTCGGAGAAGAAAAAAAACGTTGAGGAGCACTCGTGAAACATATTTTCGCTAAACAAAGTGTATTTACGGGGAGTTTGTGTTTTATACAGGGTGTCCAGAAATGGCTGTTCTTTGACTAGTTGAAAATTACTGAGCACGTGGGATAATGGAAGAGCGAATTTATGTAGAATCTTCTGTGGAATCTGATGGAGTACAAATGATACTGAATAAATGTATTTTCTTCATATTAAATAGTATGAAGTGTTAAACTTTTTCGTTCATACATTATACAGCGGCGGAATGAATACATAATAATCGAATTCACAGTATATTGTGCTATATAAATCTCTATAATTTCATGATATTTTCAATTGTATTAAACTTTCGGATGATTCTTATTTGATTCTTATCTTATTTCCAGGAAATATTATTTATAAAAGGAATAACAATCTGTTCACTTTCTACTAACACATTACTTCCATTCTCCCCTTCTAAATTTATACCAATTCAACCTCACTTTACACAGAGTAATTGCCATTCAATTTCAATATTTTCATCGTTATTGTTATTTAATTATAATTTACTAATCTTTCGATTCTTTTTTCAATCCAATGATTTCCGACTTCTAGTTAACTTTAAGGCAATCTTCAAAACGAAGAAATGAGAGTTAGTCTTTTTCATTCTCTATTCTGTCAGATTTTACATGAAATACAGTATAAAAGTCTCTTCCAGCATTACAGGAAATCAGTAATCGAAGCGTTATTTAAACGAACGCTCATTTTTGGAACGTCCCGTACATTATCGTGTTAGTAAACGAGCAAACGAAAGAGGAAGATTTATTTTTTCTGAGCAACTGCGAAATATAGCGAGAGTTCAATATTTTTGAAGACTCGTCTGTAAAAAAAAGAAACCAAAAAAAAAAACTGAAATCGTAGCGAGCCAATAGCAGGGAAGTGCCGACGGAGCAAAAGTAAGATCTAGGACCGCGCCGTCGCTCTTAAATGAGAGAAGGAAAGAAAACGAACAGAGCGAGAGAAAGGGAACTTGTAAAACTGTATTTTAAACGTGAAAACGTTCACTGCCAAATTGTGATAAAAAAAAGAACAGATCCTACCTTTTACCCCCCCTCCCCCCCGGAGCGTTTTCTTAACTTCTGATCGCATTGACCAATTATTTCCTCCTGAATAGTTACCGTGAGATCAGCACATTCTATATATATATATATATATAGAATATATATATAGAATCTTATATATATATATATATATGTAGCATCGAAAGAGAATAAAATAGCGTTGACCAATGCAGCTAGAATCGAAGGAAACCGCTCCCCTATTTTAAGCGTGTAGCGTCTTAACGATTATAAACGGAAAACTATAGAAAGGACGACCGGAAAGAAAAGCGAAGAATTAAGATTGTATCGATATTTTTCAACGGGCACGTTTTAAACCGTTTTAAAAAAACGTCACATCTGTACCGCCTACAAAAGCGCTCTCCTATAAATAAGAATTGTACGTTTACGTGTACAGTGCCTTTGTATCCTTAAAAAGAAAGAAAAAAAGAAGGATGAAAAGAAACGGAAGCGAATGAAATTTTTAAAGACACACACACACACATATACACACACCTTTCCTTTCGAGAAATCAACGATACGAACAAATAACAAAAAAAAGAAAAACTTTCCGTTTCCATCGTCGTGCGTACACACCCTATATGTATTTCGAATTGAATATTCCCGCCATTTTTACGCACCCTCCGAAACGACCACCGACGAAGGGGAACGGACGGGGATTTATCGTTGATGTCTCGAGGAACGCGCGAACGAAACACCAGAATTCTTCGAATTAGGTTTCAGATTGTAATGAATTACGGTAATTCGATTAATGTAATTAGATTCTTATTGAGGTACGTTGTAAAAGTGTACAGTTCTCGGATTTTCGGGCGTGATCTTTCTTTCGCGGCGGGAGATCACGCGCTGTAGCTAGCCTTATTGATTATCATTACGACTATTATTATCATGGATTATTAATTACGGTTAATTAAAATATATTGTGTTTACCATAAATAATGTAATTATAAACAGTTCACCGCCAGAGCCCCTCCCCACAATCCGCGGAGATGCTGTGCTGTACATTTATGATCATCGAAATACCAGAAACATCTGGCTGTTCTTGCAGATCATTATTAAATTGACTTTTTGTCCCAGAATACACCGTATTCTTGCGAATAATTTTTATTCCTGGTCACGCTGTGAACCTGTATTAAAACTTTTTTTTTCCTTAGGTAAGTGGAAATCTTCTCTTGAACAAAATGGCGGATGGACGTCCGACCGTGGTGAATATAATGAAATATTTGTTTTTTTTTTGGATTGAAACTTCAGTTTCTTTTTTTGTCGCTGTTTTTAAATAGTTAATATATTTTTTTTTAATTTATTTATTACTTGGTCAACGGTGGTATTATTGCTTGACTAGATTCGATGGATTTTACACTCATCGAACGTTACATTTACCTTTATTCGATAATCCCGAGATCGGAAGAAATATATATACTCTTTTTGTCGTTTTTCGAATGTGTGTTCATTTTTCTGATCACAACCTTTTGTGAAAATATTCGGGGTAATGTGTTATTTGGTGATACTTGAAATTTTAACGTGATTATACGATTTTACGAATAATTTACATAATTAATGGTTATTTCACGAATCTAGATATAGTTATATAAAAATATTTGAAGTTTGGTATGAGAAACAAGATGGTAGTTGTGTTACCTTGTATAAAATACTACTAATAATTTTTTAAATGAAATACAATGTACTGTGCTAAAAGGCATTCTTCCGAAGGGTTACAATTTCAAAAGATCTCGGCAAGAGAATGTAATTTAATGTAATTATAATTACAAAGTTCAGTTACGCCGATTTAATGGCGGACACTCTTTTTAAATAGAATTAACGTAATTAACCAGACATTCGATAAACGAAACTATTACCGGTTAATTTCTTATTCACATCACCCTGTAATTCCTTGATGTTTCATTTTAATTCGAGAACGAGGGACTTGAAACAATCCAGAACTCTATTTTAGGTTTAAGGCGCCCTTTAAGCCGTCTTAAAATATTTTCAGTCGTAACTATGATCGATTTTAAAATTCAAAAAGATAGAAATACATCATGTAATACTATATTTTAAATTAAACAACAGACATCTAATAATTGCATAAAGATATACGAATTCTACTGAAGACTTGTTTAAACAGACGCCATTTTGAATACCTCGATAATTGCGCATTACTACTTGTAACTGCGATTAATCGAAAACTGTGCAAAATTATCTACATTCACGCATACTTACTAAACTATGATACTTTTATAAAATAATCCAACTAAATCAGAGTATCAATTAATAATCTTCGTAGGAAAAAAGAGAAACCATTCCATTTCAGAGAAGAAAGTGGTAAAATGATTTTTCCGCCATTGAAATATAACTCAGATTGTTTCAAGCGCTTCGTGCCGCAGGTATCAACGAAGTTTGAATCGTCCAAGGATCTAGGCACCAGCAGATCGAAAAGGGAAACCGATTCCGAGACTTATGTCCTTCGAAGAGCTCGCATTTGCTTGCGGCGCGCCTGTACAACACCGTAGACGACCGCCGCCAGGCTTCGACATCTTGTCTTGTGTTTCGTCGTGCCCTGCTCCTGCATGCTTCCCTTGCCAAGAACGAAATAAGTCTCCATTGTCCCCTTCCCTTTCACCTCGATGAACCCTCTCTTCTGCGTTTGATATCCCCTCGACTCCAAAAACTATCAGGAATAAGTATTCGGTTAATTAAAGTAATTTGATATTTAATTAACCCCTTGCCTTGTAATATCGAGTTGGACTTTAAGGGGAGACAGACTAGACATTTAAGGGTGGATTATCGTGTAACAGATTCAAAAAATTAAAACGCCAAGAACGGTTACATCGTCGAAAAGGATCACAAGTCTTGCATAATACCCAATAAACAATACGAAGAATTGAAACAAAAAAATGTTTTTCTATAATTTAAGCATAGCTACTTATATTTCAAAATTGTTTACTCGAATATTACCAATTGTGTTCTCAACAAAAATTCTCAAAAATCACTTGCTTTTAGAACTGTTACACGAGAATCCTCCCTTAGAATACTACAGGTAACCCCCGTAGAACACGGTGGTTAGGTTCTTAAATATGGATAGTGTTATACGAAACTAAGAACTAGTATCTCCATACATACAAAAAGGAAGAGGTAGGTTTTAGAAACTAACGAAACTGCACTATTTTACAGAATTCTTGAACCGTGTTATTTGGAGATTTCCCCAATTCACTGATCGTGTTGCAGCAAAAACGTGTTATACGAGGGTTTCCTGTATTTTGCTAATGTTAATATTTAATCTTCAAGGTGAATGTACACTTGAAATCGATATGGAACGTGTTCATCTTCTAGAAAATTATTAACGATAAAGTATCACTATCGAGAGTATTCACGGGAAATAATTTCAACTCAAGGGGTTAAGTGTCCAGTATCCCCGACCCCAAGAACTGTCGAATTAGTTATTATACTTAAACATTTAATATAAACAACAATTCATATTTACGTGGAATAATTTGGAATCCTAAAAGGAGTTCCACCTGAAATAGATTTCCTAATGATTTTCCTTAATATGCAAAAATAGACTAATCCAGTCTATTATTCCAGATTTTATCCAATGCCTGTTATAAATTTTTGTAACTAGAATGACTACAGACTTGATGCAGGATTTGCCATAAACTATTTGCGCTCAGATTAGCGACAGACCCTGCAACATAACCTACGTATGTTACAGAATCTGGGTTAGGTTTCACGATTCTGTCAGACAGGCTCTGCCTGCAAAACTCAAACCAAATGTGGAAACAGATGGTTATAGCTTTATAGACAGATTTTGTCACTATCTGCTGCTAATCTGCACACAAATGGCTATCTGGGAAAATATATAACTTCAAAATAACTTCCATAACGTGGGTAAATCAGACTTTCCATAATTCGAAGTGAAGCATGAAAATTACTTTCATCTAGATTCCCATGGAATCTATGAATGCTAATAACTTTATGATCGCTACAAAGTTTCCAGGGTGATCTGTGTCTAATTTTCATAGATTCTGATCTGTTTCAGGTGGATCGCCCTGTGTAGTACATTCCAAATTACAAGAATTACATAATTGGAATTAGTTGAAGAATAAGAAACTCTTGAACAAATTACTGGTAAAGGATTTTCAACGAGTATTTGGAGTCAATCAGAAATTTGTTTAGTTACCCTGGCGATTTCCAGCGGAACCTGAATCTTTCCCATAACACCGGTAGAGTCCATACGAGAGGCTAGGTTGACCGTATTGCCCCAAATATCGAACACAGGCTTTCTGGCCCCGATCACACCGCCCACAAGTGGGCCACAGCTGATGCCCACTCTCAAGTCGAAATTATTGAACGAATGGATGTTAACGTCTTCTAGACGAAGCCTCATGGCAACCGCGTAGTCCACCAATCGGCACAGGTGCTCCATATCATCCGTGGTTTTGTCCTGAAAAGAAAAAAGGGAACATCAGAATTTTATCAACCTGGTGCGAAAATTAATATCGATTGTTTCTGTTCCGTGTTCTTACGTTTTGACAAGGGTTGAGACCAGAAGCCGCCATGTATGTCGCTCCGACCGTCTTGATCTTTTCGATGCAGTGGAACCGATTCTCGTCGAGAAGTTCGTCGAAATCGGCTGGAAAAATGATGAAAAATTGATAAAATATTTGTCGTGAACAAAACTTACAGCACCAAGGAAATTCCAAACGAATATGGTGCTTTAATTAATTGTTACGTAAATAATTTTTACCATACCCTAGTACTAAAATATTATAAAATAGCTAATTAACGAACTCAAATTCAATGTATTGCGGGTTGTGGTTCAAATAATGCAAAAAAATTGCTTTCTAACAGTTCTTAAAAATGTACCTCCACTGCAACAGCTAAAAGTCTGTTACCCAAAACAGGCAATTTCAAAGCAATGATATTAAAAGAAATTTAAGGTCAATAAGTTGAAGCATTAAAATGTTATAAAAATTCACATTCGGGAAGATAGAAACATCAATGTCGAAGACGTTTGTGAACGCTAAAAAAAAATTTGGACCGAAAATGACCATTCGCTTTTACCCAAACGAGAGTAACATGGAAATTAATCTTCTCTGTATTGAGTTTCATAGGGTTTCAAGTAAAATAAGAATATTCTTAAACATAATATTGTATTTTTACTGTCTCCATTTGGAAGAAATGTGAACAAATGGTTCTTTAACACGTTTACTGCCCCAATTCTCATTATTGTGACAATACCATTTATTACTTGTATACAACTACTATATAATTATAAATGATGATTACTAATTACAAATACAACCTTCTAAATATTGAATTAAAAGTATATCTCACATACAATTTAATAGCATCGATTGTCAATGACTACTGTGACAGTCAACGCGTTAATTGGGATCGAAAAAACAAACAATTTTTACCTATAATTTCATTCAACAAACGTATACACTCCATCCCTTTATTCACGTCCTCCGAGTAGAATTCAGTGAAATTCGGAACGCTGGCGAACATCACGCCAACCTTGTCCCGTGATTGCGAATACAATTCCTGCGAATCATTCGGAAGAAGAAATTGCCTAGAATAGTATCTGTCCGTCTGTATCCAATCGAAAGATTAACCCTTTCATTCCAAAATTACTTAATAATTACCAAATAAATATTTTGCTGTACTTTGTGTATATTACATGGCATATAAATGATTCACATGAACATTTTAACATTTTCAAACCGTTTAAAACATTTGGCAACTTTTTTGACTTTTATCACAGTTATATATAATTCAAATCATAATGTTATTATACACAATAAAACTCCATTTTTCTTACCTTTGATCAATAAACCCTCTGGAAATATTTGAAAGAAATTAAAGTTTTGTTGCCAAATTTTGTCCAATGCTTGTTATAAGCCTTTGTGATCAGAATGGCTGCATATTTCATGTAGGATCTGCTATAAACAATTTGCGCGCAGATTGACGGCAGATTCTACAACATAGCCTAACTTACAAATTAACTAGATAGTGTGTTGCAGGATCTGCCGCCAATCTGCTTCACGATTCTATCAACAGGCTTTGCAAAATCCAAGCCAAATGCAGACACAGATTTTGTCACTATTTGCTGCCAATCTGCTACCAATCTGCGCGGAATTGGTTATCAGGGAATGCTGCACACCTGAATTCCATCAAATGAAGGAGTCAGAGAACAAGCAATGGATTATTTTACCGTTAAACTTTTAAATGCACTACTATATACTCACAGATATGAAAAAATGAATGACACTAATGTTTTATTTCATAATTTAAAATATGTAGCCATATGGCAACAGTGGGAACGAAAGGATTAATTCTCTAAACCAGTCTCAATGATTCGTTGATGTACCTCGGGTGCTCGATCCTGTGTCAGAAAATGATGAGCCACGTGATCCGGTAAAATATTCTTCAGGAGTTGCATGTTATTATGTCGGGATTCGATCATGTCGCTGAGTTCTCGTTCGGCCTGTTGCTTCCACAGAAAGTCCAATCGGGATGTTACTTCGACTAATCGGCCGTGATACGTGACCATCACGAGGAACACGCACATAAACGTTAACATCTGAGCCGACAGAGGTATGGACATTCTGAAAATTCAAGATAACCGCTGTAGCTACGAGACTTACAATTGTTGGTATCAAAATCTTTGAGAACAAGAAATATTAGAGATTTTGTACCACAGAAATATAGCCCAAACTATCATTTACAAAATCAATGATATTCGAAATTTCTTCTATGTTTTGTACTTTCGACTATTTTAATTTTCGTTTTATCTAAGAATTTTTGACTGTTTTAATTTTAATTTTCCAAGTTTTGACATTTGAAACTTTATGTAATTGGATTCTTATGAATTGCAAGTATTGCGACCCAACGCGTCTTGGGCCGTTGACACAGTCACCAAACTGCCATAAACAGGGATTTCTGGAGACCTGTACATCACGTCCAAAACATTCGCGGTCCTCAAGACCGTTGCTTATATTTTGACGCTGACTTCCAGGAATCCAAAAAACAATACATACACCAAACCCCACTTCTTCCAACTCATCTACCACCTCTTGAACCACCTACACCAACCAAAATTCTGCATTTTCCACCACTCACGAATCGATCCGTTCTAGTAAGCATCTATACATTCACTCATTCACCAGAACATATTCAACCCTTAACAAGAACACATCTATCAGTCAGAACACAACCTGTACACGCATATACATACACCATATTGTTAAGTTTATTTTAAAATGTAAATGTGTTACTAACAAGGAGTGTATTTTAGGTGTCCGCCTCCGATTGCTTTGGTTTTCGGATATGTTTTAGAGGACCGAAAAATAAGAGATACGTATTTTTTTATAGCGGCCCGTTTTCATATTTAGGGGGTGAAACCACCCCTCAAAGTTTCGACCCGGAAGTACTATCTCGAAAACCGTAGGAGATACATGAAAACTTTCAATTGGTGGCTTTCATGCTTTTTTATGTACAATAAACTGGTGTTAACAAATTGTCAAAAATACAATTTGTTTATAACAAAAAAATTTGTTATAACTTTATTTTACAACTTATTGAAATTTGCGTAATGACATAAAATGACGAGCACTTAATTCCAAATCCATTGGTATATTTATTTTTGAAATTGCCTCCTTAGTCTCGCAGTTTTTTATTATTTATATCCTGTGCGCACGCCCGCTCTTTAAGCTTCCGATTGCCTCGGTTTTCGGAGAATATATTAATAAAAATTAAATAATGGTCAATTTATAAAAGTCAATTTCGATTTCTCAAAAAATTTGATATAATTTTTATGAATCTTTTTGTTTGCAAAAGCAACTTTTATTTGCAAACGTGATGTCTTGTGTCATTCATATTTGTTGTTTTTCAACGAACGTATGCAGCGGCACAAGAATAACTCTGGCGACGTTATTTTTCTGAAAAACATGTTTCGCAGACTTTCAAAAAAAAATATACCAATGGATTTGGAATTAAGTGCTCGTTATTTTATGTCATTACGCAAATTTCAATAAGTTGTAAAATAATGTTATAACAAATTTTTTTGTTATAAACAAATTGTATTTTTGACAATTTGATAACACCAGTTTATTGTACATAAAAAACCATGAAAGCCACCAATTGAAAGTTTTCATGTATCTCCTCTGGTTTTCGAGATAGTAATTCCGGGTCGAAACTTTGAGGGGTGGTTTCACCCCCTACATATGAAAAGGGGCCGCTATAAAAAAATACGTATCTCTTATTTTTCGGTCCTCTAAAACTTATCCGAAAACCAAAGCAATCGGAGGCGGACACCTAAAATACACTCCTTGTAAGTTGTGTCATTTAAAACACAGATTACCACACACTATCACACCATCTTTCCAACGAGCTCTGCGGTATTGTTTTACCAAAGCTAATCGCGAGCTTATCGTGAGTAGGTCGCAACAGCAAGTGTTATTTATCATATTGTTCACTATGGTTATTTAAAAACTAAGTTTACGGACATTTCTTATTACTTCTCTACGGACACGCGTCAACAAAATCGCAGATTTTCTTGAAAAAACAATTTATTTTATTTAATAGTCAATTTACGATCACATCAAATTGACGCATATTCACGGAGATAGGTATACCACATAGAGAATTTCGAGTTAGAAGACATTCGAAATGCGTCAAAATGACGTGTTCCGTAAACCTAGTGTTAATAAGCTTTTTAGCATTAATAACCAGAAATCTATTCATAAATTTTTTCAGTTCCAGTGACAAATTGCTACCTAAGTAACGTAATGTGACAATAATTTCGTTGTAATTTGTATTTAGAGGAAAATTAATACATTCCTTGTCAGAAATTTCGAATCTTCAAGTGACTAATATTTTTAATGACGGCTTAATGACGGCTTAAAGGCGCCTCAGACATAAAACAGCTGTAAAATGGGCGTCTTGAAGGCATCATGTGCTATCTGGGTATAGAGTCGTTGAATGATGGTTTCGACAAGATCAAATGATTTTACGCGATCTAATAGATCAATCGAAACTCACAGATTCTTTTCTTTGTCCGAGATGGAGAAGAAATCTTTGCAGACGACAAGGATCAGCACAGCGTAGACCGACACGATGATCGTGGCCAGCGCTGTCTTCACTAAATAATATAATTTTAGGGCGGAGGCGAGCGCGATTAAGCACAAAATCCAAGTGAAGACAATATATTCCGGTCTTACGCAGATTGTCTCTGAAACAATTTCATCGTCCAACGAGTACAACGCTTCCGTTCGAGCTTCTGTCGCTGATAGTATCTTCCTCGAGGCAACGTCTTCGCTGCCAAACCTGGATATCAAATATTTAACACAATAATAATAATTAGAGCACGTCTACAAGAACCATTTAATCACAAACAACACTTCGTCCATTATCATTACATCATAAATGGGTTATTCCACGCTAAATCACTTTTTTTCCTTGATGTGTGACATTTTTTTCATATGGTCCACGTGAAATTAGGGGGAGTTTAAGTCATCATTTTCCTGTTACCGAATTTATTTAGAAAATACAGGCCGCCGAAATTTATGATATTTGACTATTTTCGTAAAATCACGATGTACTTAAAAATTTATTTCTCGGGAACTATGTATCGTATCCAGTTCGTTCTTCGATTATTTTAATCTAAAAGAATTGCCTCACTGAAAGAATTTTGTTATATGAAATAAGGTTACAAGAAATATAACCATTTTTTTTTTAATTTAAACAGCCCTTGACAAGCACAGAGGAAATCGCGAAAAAAGAATTTGTTTATAATTTTCAGTATTAAAAAATAAATTTTTCAAATAACAACAAAATTATTACAGCAGGATATTCCTTCTACATTAAAATAATCGAAGAACGAATGCGATACAGTAAATAGTTCCCGAGATATAAATTTTCAAGTACAACGCGGTTTCACGAAAATAGTCAAACATTGTAAACTTCGGCAGCTTGTATTTTTTAAACAAGTTTGAGAACAAAAAACTAATGACTTAAATCCCTCCTAATTTCACGTGGACTGCATCATATCTCATTTTGAACAAAATCCCTGACATCGATTGGAAAATGTGATCGATTGATCAATTTATACATGTTAGGTACACCAATAAATGATCCTCTACGGTTATAATAAGATTGCGTCACAATTTAAATTCAGTTCGGCTATCACACCTTCCATCCACTCAAAATGACGAGGGACGTTTGAAAAATACAACAAATATTCTCAAGACAGCGTAAATATTATATAATATTTCTCATGAAATCTGAAAAATTCTTTCCTTCGTCGTCCATTCAACGGGTCAGTCCCGTCGCCAATCCCCGTAAGTTCCATCTCCAAGTCGCTAGAATCGCGAAACCCAGTTCGATTTTTCGTGGCCATATTTTTCCGGTCCGCAGAAGGCTCATCCCGAAGTGCCGCCTCTAGAAACGTCAGTATGAACTGATCGAGGCCCACAGTGGTCGCCACCAGACGTTCCGGCTTCAATGTCGGCGTGATCAACTGTTGTTGCTCGAGAACCAAAGCCTCTGGAAATCGTCGAATCGACGTCGGACAGGCCAGCACGCCGACGATCGACGTCAGGGCCATCAGGCTGATTACGATGCAGATGAAGATCGTTCGGTGCTGTTTGTTGTGGACCAGCATCGACGAGGCGTGTTGCAGACACGTCGGCAGGCTCTTGACTTCCTCCGCCATCACCAAGATGGACGACGCCACAAGGATCAGCGTCGTCAACAGTAACGAGAGCAGGAGGACTTTGCAGCTGACGAAAGAAGAATCGAGTATTTTAGGGAAGATTCTACCTAGTTGGTCAAATCTGCACGGCCAGATTTTTATCAATGCGTGATATAAACTTTTGTAACCAGAATGGCTACAGATTTGATGCAGAATCTGCTATAAACATTTTGCGCGCAGATTGGCGGCAGATCCTTGAATATAAGTTGTAAATTAATTCAGTTCAATTGATTGATAGTAAATAGATTAATAGATAGTAGATGATAGATTCAGTAAATTGATTCAGTTTTATTAGCCTGCATTGTGTTGCAGGATCTGCCGCCAAACTGCCATCAATCTGCTTCACAATTATGTCAGCAGGTTCTGCCTGCAAAACACAAGCCAAATGCGGAAATGGCTGGCTATGGATTTGTAGACAAATTTTGTCACTTTTTATCATAATTTTAGGTTGGAAATTGGATAAAAAGGAAGAGGTTTAAAATGGCGGAAGAAGAGAAGGGTTAAACATGGCTGGAAAAGAAGAGTTATTGGGAAAGGAAAGATTACGATTCTGATTGCTGTTTCATTGTTTAATATCGTTTTTCTTCGGTGTAATTTGGGAAATTGTAATAGGTACTTTGAGTTTTTCGATGATTCTCTGCACGTCTGTCTTCTGAAGAAGATTTGAAGCGTCAATGTTCAACTTATTTTAACCCTTTGAGTACTGAATTATTTGAAGATTTTTATGCCCATGGGACGGATTTAATTTGTCGCTATATGGATTAATATGTAAAAGTAATACATTTCATTTGGAATATACTTATATTGGTGATATAAATATATTTTTGAAACAGCATTTTAGTTACAAAATATAAATAAATATATAAATGAAACAAAATAGAAATATTTATATAGAACAAGAACCAACTTAAAGTCTAATAATTTTAAATTCAGACGACGGGTCAGACTCGTCCACCGTAACATCGCCCAAGTAAGCAGATGACGAGTCTCACTCGTCAAATGTACCCAAAAGGTTAAAGTATGTAGGTATTATGGAAAATAAACATTTGAGTCTATCGCAGGCCAAAGAGACTAACTCTATGTTTGGAATTGTTGCAAATTTAGTGCCAAATCACTTAGTTGGTATTTAACTTTTTGTATAATGTGCATTCACTGGTGCATCCAGCCTAACTAATACATTCCAGATAGCACATGACGCCTTGAAGACGCCCATTTTACGGCTATTTTAGGTCCAAGGCGCCTTTAAAACGTCTTCTAGGCGTCATTAGACGTCACGTACTATCTGGGATATTGCTTTAAAAAAAAACAACAGTTGAATATTTAAAAATTACAAGAAACTGGCTTACTCGGGTAAGATAACCGCCTGGCAGATCGCGATGAACACCCACACGACGAAGCAACAGATCATGTTCGATTTGAACATACCCTCGCGCAACTGGCAGAACTGCAAGCAAACGAAACGATATCTCTGTCGCATGCATCCTCGGAAATCAATTTAAGAAAATTCATATAACAGATCTACGACCTTTGATTCCAGGCTCTCGTCATTGTAACGCAACGTCCAAGCGTTTATGTTCGCCGATCTCATCCGCTTGTTGCTCGCGGTTTCGAGACCAGCTGCCCTCAATCGATCCGCTGGAGACGTGGCTTTACCCTTCGCGGAGCCATTTTCTTCCTCGAGATACTCCGATTCCAGGTTACTAACCGACGTCGCCGTATTCAACTGCATTAACATTATTTATATTGTAACACTTGATCTTCTGAAAATGTTCATTGAACAACCTACAGACTCCTCTCGATTATCGTCTGGCTTGTTCTACACGATTATTGTCAAAAACTTGTTGAAAACTTCAAATATAATACTTTTTTTAATAATGCAAAAATCAAAATTCCAATTTGTTTGTAAGTTAAATTTAGATATATTGTTTCCACATCCAATGTACAAGCAAATGAATTAACATTTGATCAGAAAAATGAACAAAAAGTGCTATTTTTTAAATACGTTAAACGAATGGATTATTCTGGAATCCAATCCTATAGATGGATTCCTTATAAAAAAACACACAATATTGCAATATACCGTTTTTATATCTCTAATAGTCTAATCCGTTTTCACCCTTCCAACGTGGATAAGAGCAGCTAAAAAAAAGTGTAAAAAAAACAGGTACGTGTCAAGTATTATTATAAGAATTACAATTTCACAAAGTTGTATAAAAATCGGCAATTGTCAATTCGGAATATTCCCTTGTTAATACAGAAAATTTTCATCTGACTCCAGTTTTTACGCAATTTACACCACTTCTTCGCTTTAACTTTTTAACAAAATGTAATATTTCTTCCAATACTATGAGACAATATTCAAAATATCCCGTAATCGAAGCAACGAATCGCAAAATAATACTTATATTTATAGTTAAGTTACGTCCGTTAGACTCGTAAATGAGCAAAAAACAAAATGGCGGCGGTGACGCGAATTTGAACGTTGGAAGTAACGGTTCGCGTGATACTCACGTTCTCGAATGGAATTTCCGGCGTCCAATCGACACCAATATCGTCTTCTGTCGACGAGTTTGGCGCGTTGCTATTCGCGGCCAGCGGATTGTTCAGCTTGAAACTCTTTTTACTCTTGCCAGCGTCTTCTTCCGACCATATCTTCGGTCGCGAGGACTGTCTCCGTCGCGATTTCAGAGGCTCCACCTGCTTGATCAAATACGTCACCACGTTTCTCTCCTTTAAATAATTGTCCCTCTCTGTCCCGTTCCCTGGTTCCACTTCGTACACGTCGTTCAGACACTGCAGGGTGTCCTCTGAGATGTGCACCCTCCTGGAATGCAACGGTTCGTTCGAGTATTTGACATACGCTACCCTTATAACCAGGTGTGTACAAGTTTCGAGCGAATGGCCAGCAAATAATGACAAAAGTTGTCTAAAAAAATATAGCCACCTGTTTCCACATTTGGCTTGGGTTTCGCAGGCAACGCCTGACAAAATGATAAGGCAAATTGGCAGTAAGTCTTGCAACTTAACCTGTGTCAAATTGGGGGCAAAAACGGAAAGTATCTGCGCGCATGGACGGAAAAAGTGGCTTTTGCCCCACCCTATAAAAAAAAAATTAGATTTTGCCCCTCGTGTCTGGCTACGTACAGCCTTTTTCACTGTGGCAGTCGATGTGTTAATATTTTTGCCCCCCCCCCTCCCAACTGATAACCTGGATATATTGCTGCCAATATTTATAGAATATTATAGAAAATCATGCATCGAACTTGTAGCCAATAATTATAGAAAATCATGCATCGAACTTGTAGCCATAACTTTATAACAGGCATTGGACAAAATGTGGCTTTGCAGGTTTGGCTAACTAGGTACTTAATTGACTATTTCATAAATAGACTGAATATTTATGCAAAATATAAGTTTTTATGGATTAGTTTGCAGAAATTGTGATCAAATGCTCTTCTAAAGGTTCCATTAGGTTCCAGATTAAAGAAAAATTGCGTTAGATTTTATTAATTTTTTCACTGTACTAAGTTTTATAGTCTCTCTCGAGCTCATCATCTAAAATTTTGTACCGATTTTTCAATAGTCCAGCCTCTTTGCAATGTATGTCTCACCCATATTTGAGTGACGCAGCTAGAGATGAGATAAAGTATATTACAATCAGATTCGGTTCTAACTGGATAGTTTGGAACGTTTCATAAATACTTCGAAAAAGGAAAGCAATACTTTTAAGTAGACTCGAACCCAGACGAATAGAGAAGTTCTCTATTCTTTGCAATTGTATGTAGTTTAGCGAAAATTATACAGGGTGTTCCGCTTGAAACAGGCCATCTAAATATCTTATCTATCTGTGATCATACGAGAAATATTTTTTACATAATTTAAATGGTTTCAAGAAACAAATCAGATGATGGAAAAAAAACTATGTAAGTAAATTAAAAGTTTTTAGAGTTCAAGGTCATTTCAAGGTCATACTATTATACATGGATAATTGCATAATAATGTTGGCTACAATATACAGCAGGAAAAATGATGTGCATATACGTAAAAAAAACATGGGTGACCTTGAAGAAACCATTAAAAAATGACACTTATACATAATTTTTCCCACCATCCGATTCGTCTCTTGAAACCATTTAAATTACGTAAACAATATTTCTCGTATGATCACAGATAGAGAAGATATTTAGGTGGCCTGTTTTAAGCGGAACACCCTGTATATAAATGATCCACATTACATTTATATACCTACATTTTTTTGAACCAAATTAATTTGTTAAATGTTAAATGTCCGATACAATGAATGACAATGGTTCAATCAGTTATCCACATCTCACTAACACGCTTAGTATTCGAGTACTCTTTGTGAAGAGTTAGAATCTTTCTAACATCAAACTACTTACAAGTACGCTTTCGAATCTACAAGTGTACTCATTCTAGATTTCGAAACCAACTAGTATAAAATATACATTTCAAGTACAGTGGACTGTAACTATATTGCCGCGGTCGGGTCTGTAGGGGAGTAAAATGGCAATAAGTTGAGTCCTCTCCATGTAAAGTTCTATCGTCATAACCTCAGCCTCAGCGCCTGCGCAAAAGCTGGGTCGTGCTGGTGCGCCGACGTATGCAACGTGGTGGGAGAGGGAATTTGTGTGCGTGAAAGTACGTGTGAAGGGGAAGTGCCTCGCGTGGCAGTATGTTCAGTGGCAATGTAATTAGAGTTCTCTGTATACCTACTCACTAAAACTATTGCTTTTGAGTAGTAAACGAAACCCATGAAATGGAACTTGCTTATTGAAATTGACGGCAGTCAAAGTATTAATGCGAAACTTTACCCGGGAATGCCTCCGCTCTCAAGATGATTGGCCAGTGTCACGTCGTAAGACCAGACATCGAACTGCCACTTCCGAAGTCCCAGCACACCGCACAACACGGACCCGCTGTGGATCCCTATTCTCATGTTCAGGTCGACCTAATAAACATTTTTCTATTGCGACTTAAATATTTATCGGATCAACTTGTTATTTCTTTTAACACCTCCGGGGGTGAGGCTGAAATAACTTTGATCCTTTAGTAGCGACATTTACAGATGGCATTTGTAATAAAAAAAATTTGACCTGATAAACATTTTTTTATTGCGACTTAACTATTTATCGGACCAAGTTGTTATTTCTTTTAACACCTCCGGGGATGAGAATGAAATAACTTTGATCCTTTAGTAGCGACATTTACAGTTGGCATTTGTAATAAAAAAAATTTGACCTAATAAACATTTTTTTATTGCGACTTAACTATTTATCGGACCAAGTTGTTATTTCTTTTAACACCTCCGGGGGTGAGAATGAAATAACTTTTATCCTTTAGTAGCGACATTTACAGTTGGCATTTGTAATAAAAAAAATTTGACCTATTAAACATTTTTTTTATTGCGACTTAAATATTTATCGAATCAAGTTGTTATTTCTTGCCCATTTCAGGTCACGTTAGAAGCGGTAAGACATTGGAAAATGTTCAGGCCTACCTGCGTGGTGTATCGGACATCCCTTATCGCCTTGATCATGTGCAAGCCCATCTCGACGCAACAATGAGCATGATCGCTCCTTGCTGTCGGCAGCCCGGACACGCAGTAGTAACAATCCCCGAGTAACTTTATGCGAAGACAGTGATTCTCCGCGGATAATTTATCGAAACGGGCGAACAGGTCGTTCAGCACCTTGACCAGCTCTTGGGGGCTGCAGTGGCTAGCCAACGCTGAAGTAAACATCGAACATAAAGCATTGAAATGATTTTATGAATATCGAAATAACACGTTGGTCCAGTGGTTTTTAATCATTGACTGGTAAGCTGGGATCTGGGGAACTCTATGAATATTTTTAGAATGTTTCATTTTTATTCAACAATTACTTAACGGGGCAGCCTGGTGTAAAAATGAGTTCTGTTAAGTTCAATTAATTTTCATACGGCCAATTTTAAAGTGTTCGTATTTTTTAAAGTTTGTCCATAAAGAAGACAAGTAAGACTATATCCTCAATTTTTTAATGTCTCGCTATTAAAAAATATGTTTATTAAACTAAAGTAATTTTTACTACATATTCTTGTATCTCTACTGTAAGCACCCACAAAACTCATTTTGATCAGTTTCTTGATTCAACAGTTATAATTTATTGAACAAAGGTTGACACTATATTTCAAACACCTGTAAAATCAACAATTTTCAAAATTTTCGAAACTCCTTTTCGGTTGAAAGTTTGGTCCCACGTTTTGTCACCGGCAAAAGTGAATGATCTTACTTCATGAAGACTGATGAGGCTCGATGAAATAAGTAATTCATAGAGGTAAGTATCAACAGAGAGGAAATGAATGCTCACGCCCAGAAATGCGTTGTCCCCGAGTATGTGTGCTGCACCAAGCGGCTAATTGTCGTTGTTTTGTTTTATTTTAATATTCGAGAAAGTACACATACACGCGCACACACACTGTTACACACTGTTCACGCATTACAGTAGTATACACAAAAACCACGAAAACCCTACATGAATGAATAAAAAAATTACCCTAAACATCACCTCTGTGAAGTTAGCCGGGCAATTATGACTTTTTAACGTTTCATTATATGTCCCAATCGATTGATGGTCGATTGGTGGTCATTGGTGGCCTAATTAGAACATTTGGTGGTCACGCGTCCTTCTGTAATCGGCGTGAAACTTATGGAACCTTTATGAAGCTTTGAAGACGGTACGGAAGATTTGCAAGTTACAGAGGAGGGAATTATTTGCGGCATGTAAGTTACAATATTTTATAAGCCTGAATAATATACGATACAACTTCATAAATAATAAGAAAAATGTTCAGTATTTCATTTGAGGCAAATTTAAAGAAGCTAGAATTCATTTAATGATTTTCGTACGTATCGAACACTCATAATCTGACAACGTTACGTATTTTAGATTTGGCAACACTGTAAAAGTTACATACGGTTGTGGTTCTTGTAAATATATGCTAGCGTGGAACCAAAACGGGTAGATTCCTACTATTATGCCAGAATTGGCCGCTTGTTGCAGCACTTGCCCGGGAAAAACGAATTCCCGAGCGTGAGCACTCTCACTTCCTCTCTGGTATCAAGTAGTACATAATACACAGGGTGTTTTGTTTTTCTTAGTTGCCAAAAAATCTGTATGGAAGGTAGGATATATTATGTGTCCCAATAAATAATCCACCAATTCCTCGTTAATAAACTGGTAACACAATTCAAATTTAAAACATTTGCCAAACCTTTTCTTCTTTCAAAATGGCTGCGAACGACGAAGAACGAAATTAAATATTGCTGAAGCAACATAGGCTGTTGATATCCTCGAAAGTAAGCGTATTGAATTTCACAAAATAGATTACTGACTGGTACACTAGATATTAGCACCGTAATTGGAATTAAACAGACAATATGAAGAAAGAAACTGTATTTGTCGACTTATATGGAAACACCTTTGTACGCGTTTTACCGTTCTGTTCGGAGATATATGATTTGTGCATTGATTCGGAAATGCACATTCGAGAGAGTAATTGAGTTATAAAAACAACAACAGAAAGGTTTTCTGAAACACAAGATTGGATAAGTGTTCACGTACCAGTAAATCCTTTGATGTCCGCGAAGAGTATGCTAACGTTTTCGTAACGATGGATGTATATCCGGTGAAATTGATTGGGCGTGAAAGAGATCGTTCCGCCTCGAGCTGTTTCGCGAGCGATATCGCGAATCATCTCTTTGGCCACGAAATCTGGCAGAACTATAACAAACAGTCAGAAATTTCAAAGCACTTTCTCGTTGATAAGAATAATAGGATGATGCATCAGTAAATGAACATTATATATAAAAACAAGTAAATAAAATTATTAAGACAACAGAATGATTAAATATTGATTTTTCTTCAATTCCTTGTTTCATATTCAAACAATTTTCGCGCTATTGGTTAAAAATATTCATTCGATTAAAAGCACGAGAATTTACATAATAACTTTACATATAAGAATGTTGAATATCGAACTTTCATCGTTTTCGTCATTTGTGTTATTGTATTCGACTCTGTCGAAAAGCGAGTCGGGATTATTTTGAGCGACAGCCGTGAATCGCAATACAGAGAAGCCTCGATGGCCCGTCTCTTCCCTATATTTTGCATGTACCACCCCTAAACGAATCATCGTCGAGAGATCGATAAGTACGTAAAAGCAAAGCGCTGCCAGGCTATCGGTAAAACACATCCGGCGCAATCGAGCGAAAGTGTCTAGTGACCCTTTTTGTCACTCGGCTGAGCAGGTTACACGCGCCGTCGAGCACCGTGCTTGCGCGCCGCGACGAACCCCGTTGGTACATCTTTATATATTACGATCCGACACATGTGTAAATATATTCGTCCCGATACCCCGACACGTAGCAATTCCACACAGCCCCCCGACTGTATTTAAGGTGGTTCACGCAAATTTTTAATAATAATAAATTTAATTGAAAATTTAACATAACATTCTTAAAAGCTTCAACTTTCGATTGATACCAAAAAATTACAAAGTCTATGATCAAATTATTGAAAAAGAAACACTGTAAGAATGCCTCTTTAACACGAGGAACTGTAGTTGATACTGAGAAGTTAATCACTAGACTGTGGATCTTTATGCAAATATCAATATACAATGATTCATTTTCGATAATTCGAAACAAACCGAAATTTCTTTCCCCCATCGAAGGTTCTATTAATTATTTCTTAAAACATATTAAACTCCTTAATATACTTAATTTCAGACAATCGGGGGAAACTATAAACGCATAAAATCCGCAGTCACTTCTTGTGCAGTTACAAAAAATGACATTTTCATACAAAATTAAGTGGTTAGAGATTTTTTTACGGAGATTATGATGACACGGAAAAAAAGATATGTTAACGATCAAATGAAACTAAACGTTAAGATTAAAGTATGCAAGCTTAGGTTTCAATGCGTTTGGTAGTATCTTCTACGCATGTCTGCCATGAGTGTCAACGTCACTTGTTTACCTTTCGGTTTGTCCGACAAACTTTCTAATTTTTTCTTAAAAGTAAAAAAAAAAATTAAGTTTCGTTTACAGTAAGGATAAAAGAATGTTGTTTTTTTTCTGTTTATTTCTCATATTTTTTTCCATTTCAGAATTTTGAATTAGTTTGAATTATTAATCATTCAAATTAAATTGGTAAAATCGATAGAAAGTATAAAACGCCAGATAGAGCCCCAGCTAGATACGACACCAAACGCATAAGCTACCTTAAATTATCGAATAATGAAAATCGGAAACTACGACGGTTTGTAACACTATTCGACAAATTTTAACTGTTTTCTTGCCTTATAACCAGGGCTTGAAACGGTCCCGAAAATAACTGTTTCAAACTGTTATATAAAGGTTCCGACTGAAACAGGTACGAAGGACCTTTACTTTGAATAACTGTTATGGAGAACCTAAATATCAAACTGTATTAGTTTCAGTTATGGTTCCTATAACAGCTCCCATATCAATTCTATAACCGTTATTTTTTAGATTCTATATAAGTTTCAAAACGGTTATAGAACCGATTCTCGTAACCATTTTACAGAATTTTACAGTAAATAAAGTCACAACTTTTTACGCATATAGATTACTGTAAATATTACATATCAGCATATTTTTTGCGAAGTCCGTATAGTAAAAATTTGTTAAGTAGTTAAAAATGTTATATTAACGAATACATTTCATATTACAAAAAAAATGATATATATACAAATGTGTACATATATATTTACTTACTAATTCATAATAATATTTCAAAAATTTTACTTAAAGGTACATAGCAATCGGTAACTGTAATGTCTTGTGATTTCATTTACTGTAGAATTCTGTAGAATCATTACGAAAATAGGTTCTATAACCGTCTTGGAATTTATATAGACCCTAAAATATAACAGTTATAGACCTGATATGGTAGCTGATGTAAGAACCTTAATTGAAACAAATATAGTCTCAAATTTAGGTTATTCATACCAGTTATTCGAAATAAAGGTTCTTGATAACTGTTTCGAGAACCTAAATCGATATCATAACAGTCTTCAAGCCCTGCTTACAGTTCTATCTAGTATAACGGTAGGGTATCCCAATTACGGAGGCTTTAAGTCAGTTTGCGCAATCAAGTATTTACTAAAAAATACTCAAAAAATTTCACATTGTGAACATCAATATCAGTTGCTAAACAATTCCTTTTTATAAAGGAATTTTTTTTAAATAAGAAAAATTAAATCTTTGTAATGTATTTAATTAAATAGAAACAGATGTTTTTGTCTGTCTTAGAGAGCCGTTTCGGTAATTGCAGATGTATTTCGGTGCCCCCAGTTTCGGAGCCTGTCCCCGTTTCAGTGCCCCGTATTACGATGTATTGAATGTCGCTTCTAGCCTAACTTTTGTGAAGTAGGGCAATTTTTGTCCTCTTTATTATAGAGGAAACGTTTTTTATTTGGAGCTTGACTCGTATTGTTAGAGATTAGGTACCTATTTATATGTATATAACTGCCGACACGCGCTTCACTTTTGATTTAACGAAAGTGAGGTTATGGGGAAGATCTACGCTTGGGGGATCTTGGGAGCTCCATATTACGAACAAGACTGAAAATCACGCGGTATTACGGAATTTACTTAAAAATAAAAAGTAAAAGGATTGTAGGTGTTGAATTAATTTTGTTTAATTACGCTAAACCTTTTTAGGATATAATATGCATTTTATACGGTGAAGATGCTGTTTATAATTGATTTATATGAAACAGTTCAGTATGCTTTTCTTAAGGTTTTGGCCAAGAAATTTCTATGAAATCATCGAAAGCGTAAAGCACATATTTTAATAAATACTTAAACCAGTATGACATGTTAAAATTGTCGTTTTTTACTTTAAACCTTATTTATTAATAATTAAATTTAATCAACAAAATTTTGTTTATGTTTATTTATAAATGTATTTCTTTTTAATGATGATTTTAATACAGAGGCTCCGTAATTGGGACAGATATCCTAGTTTTTTATTAACAAGTCGTGTCTCACCGGACAGCAGCAGCTTCTCCTGTCGGTTGTTCTCATTCTGGGTCCTCTGTCTGGTCTCGAGGGACCGATGGGTCTCCAAGAACGCCTGCCTCTGTCCTCTGTCTGTCAAATACTTAGTGTACATGCCAGCTAGATTCATTGCAAGATAAAGAAGGACGTTGGTCGTTAGCATTCGAACTATGCACGCGACATCGTGCAGCTGCAATAGCAAAACGGCGTGTATTTAAAAGAAAAACAAACGGACCAAGCTGCAAATCGAATTGTAATATGAGGCGCGGAGTTGCGGCGAAAAAAAAAGGAGATTCCACACACGCACCAGCGAAGGATAATGTGTCAGGTCTTGCAGGGTATTTGTCACGTCTTACAAAAATACTTACATTGAACGATTCATGTACAAGATATATGTAGGCCAAATAACATGAACAAGTGGATACGAGGTGATTCCTTATGACAAAATAAGAACAAAATATGGAATAAAATTTTTTCATTGAAGGCTTAATTTTCGAGAAAATCGACTTTGAAAATTAATCTGAAACACGTGTATTCGCCACAGTAGTAAGTAGAAACGGAATGCAATGAACAGACGCGCTAGCACAGTTGCCCCTGTATCTAGCAGATTTTCAAAGTCGATTTTCTCAAAAACTAAGCCTTAAATGAAAAAATTTTATTCCATATTTTGTTCTTATTTTTGTATAAGGAATCACCTCGTACCTGCTTGGACATGTTATTCGGCCGCACCTTGTATACAGTAAGTTCTCAGTGAATGCTCGGGAAGATCTCTACGTTAAATGCTATCTGCTTCATCCCCACTACTGAATTTAATCTTCGTGGGCCGTCGGGAAAATATAAAGGCCTGAATAGTAGACCTAGAAATAATAGGAAATAGTGTTCTTCTACGATAACTGTTCCAAAGCAATCCCGAGTTTCGATCATTAATCGAAAATTTACTGTATTTGGTGTACTAAACACTATTCCAACCTTGATATTTTAATAACTTTTAAATGAAAAAGGTTATAGTTGAGATTCTTTCTTTTAAATTCATTTGAACAAATCGGATTTTACGATAAAAGATTTTCAAAATGACGACCGTTATTAGCAATCACATGACTAATTCTTTCCTCAAATGAGTCTTTTAGTTACTGACTTGTAACTCGTAAACTACAAAAGACATTGGAAAAAAGTTTAGATAAATTCTGTATCGTTTCTAATCATCCATATATCGGTAGGAAAGAATTTTCGAAAAAATTATTTTCAAACAAACATTTTCAAAACAATTTGTTTTGTAAAGAATGCCATTTGTTTTGTACATCATTTCACGAACATCCCCCATGAGTAGCAACACAAATAAAAACAAATGCAGTCTCGTTAACTGCGCAGACTCCCGAGCAATCGCAATTTAAAGTGTTGAAAAGGTATTTAGTACACCCTGTATCTGAAGAAATTCAAAGTATGTATTTCACGCAAAATCAGGATCCTCTGATCCGAAAAATCTCCTGACAAAAACTGAACGTTGCCCTTCGTCGATGAATGAAGGGGATGTAGAGTGTACTGCGAAGCAGAGAGAGAGAGAGAGAGTGAGCGTAGACCAACGATTCTTACGTGTGTCGGGTCTCGTAATAATGTGATCCCTGCGAGGACCATGTGGGTCAATGCTGTCCCATAACCGGCGAGGACGCACCACCTCAATGGCAACGGCAGCATCGCGTACGGTGCGTACACGACAAACAAAATATACCACATTAGACGCTGCTGACTAGCGAAGTCTAGACCGGCGCCTATAAAACCTGCAATTCACATCGTGGTTGTCACGTAAGTCGTCCGCCATCTTTACGGAATGCTCGTCGTTAGTTAGTGTCTGGCGTTCAATTATATATACAGGGTGTAACAAAAATGTTGGAGGACCCGGAAAAGGGAGATTCGTGAGGTGATTTGAAACAAGTTTTTCCTTAGTAAAAATGTTATCTGAAGTTTTGTTAACGAGATATTAACGAAAAACCCCGACCAATCAGAGCTCGAGTCTGCCAGCCGAGTTCCCGCGGTAACGTTGGCTACGCGCTATGATTGGTAGCAGCTTTTTTAAAATTGGTACAAATGACTTGAGTTCTTTTGTAAAGTTGGGGACATTAATTTACTAAATGATGTATAAAAAAAGATACAAAAGTTGCAAAATGATCGGAATCGCGAAGAAAATAGTAAAGGTAGTTTTTTACAACTTTTTATTCTGAGGCTATAATGAAAATTTAATAAACACATATCGAAAATTTATGTTAGTTATATATGTACTGAAACTTTCATTGAAATCAAATTCAACAGGCATCAAAAGATGTAAGAATTATTAGATTTACTACAGTTGTAGGTCAAAAGTCGGGAGAAACTGTGATTTTCAACATTTTTAATCCTCGGTATCTCGTAGCAACGTTAACCGATTTTTATGAAATTTTCAACATGTATATAACTAACATAAATCTTCGATATGTATATATTAAAGTTTCATTATAGCCTCAGATTAAAAAGTTGTAAAAAACGACCTTTACTATTTTCTTCGCGATTCGGACCAATTGCAACTGTTTCAATATTTTTTTACACATCATTTAGTAAACTATGTCCCTATATTCACAATACAACTCAAGTCATTGGGTCCAATTTTAAAAAAGTTGTCCCGTTTTAAAGGGTGTACGAATACTTTTGTCCGGTACTATAAGTATAAACACAAGAAAAGACCATAGAAATGTAAATAGAAGTTCAATTGTACTGAGTCAGTTAGTTAGTCGTACAATTTATTTCAGTACACAAGCAAGTGATAAGTTCAATATGCCACCACACAAGGTGTACTCGATATAAAGGTCAGAATAATCGAGTCTTTGAAGGAAGGAAATAGCCAAGGAAGGGGTGCACAAAATACTGTTCAACAAATTTTAACCTTTTTTTGTTTTTGTCACCTCCAATAGGCGTTCCTGATGGATTTTTATGAGTTGAATACGAATCTGCAAACCGTTTCTTTACAGCACGTCTAGTTTTTGAAAAAAAAAAACAATTTTTTTTCAATTGCAAAGTTTCAACTTTAGAACTGCGTTGTGCTTTTACAGTAATAGTTATTCAGTTTCTTTTGACACAAAATAAGTGTCTGGACTCCTCGAAACAAAATGATATAAATTGTTATTCTATTATGGACATCTAAATATGTGTAAATAAGTTCAAAGTGAAAGGGACACCGAAGGCTCATGAATTTTTGCTGATATTCTTCAATTTATTGAAAAAATTAAGGGTCTAGAAGACAATCTAACTATAGCATATAATAGAACAGACCTTTCTGCCGAGGAAGGTGTCAAGAAAAGTTACAATATCAAAGTTATATATGAAAAACATTATTAATTCAATGCCAGAACGAATTAAAGCAGCAATACGTTCACATGGAAACATAACCAAATATTAGTACCAAAAATCGTTTGAATTAACAAATCAGATCGAAAACTTTTTTTTCAGTAACTCTCTTAATCGGAAACTTGTTTCCATGTAACATTTCAGTTCTTATCGTGTATCCGTTTCATAATAAATGGAAGGGTGCGTTCTTTTATTGTTATTTACTTCGTATTAACCTCCTTTCAATTTCCCGTCACTTCTATCTTTATATGACAGCATTTTATAGTTCTAAAGTATGAATATTCTCAGTGAATGTCGTATTAAATACGTGTGATCGGACCCTTGTTGCCAGAGGTTGTGGTACCAAACTGCAAGTTAATATCGTTTTTACTTTTTTCACAATACGTGTCTGAAAGAAGCCTTCTTGCACCCATCAGTCTAACCCCTTAAATACATATAGCGGCCACGGGATCGCCGATCGATCCTATCCCATGCCTGGCGCGCGTATAAGTCGGCTCTACCGCCGTTCCCTCTACGGTCCGTTGGACATTCAAGCAATTCGCTGGACCGCCAACGCACGAGCCACTGGAGCAAAACTCTATATTCGGTGTGTAACATACGAGGGATACGATCTATCCATGATAGAAAAGGGGAATCAGGAACAGGAAAAAAAAATAACAAACCACGCCCGTCGAAATCATGACAGTCCGGCTGTATATGCAGTAGCGTTACTAAGGGGGTGTGGGGGGTTGAGGCCCGCACCGGGTGACACCATCGTGGGGATGACACCCAATGTTTTTAATGTATATTAAAAAAAAATTACATTTTTGTCAATTGTACAACTGCAAGCCCGTTTCTACAATAAACCATATCCCCTATGAACTCCTCAATCCATGCTTTCTAACGACCAAACATTCTACAGACTCCTCTCGATTATCGTCCTGAACTCGAGTCCATGTGGGGACAATAATCTTACAGGGAGAAGTGCTTCAGACCCTCGTAAATTCGTTTCTTGCCCAAAGCCTCGGCAACAAAAGGGAAGGGGAAACAAAGTTTAAAGGGTCCACACCCCCCCTCTCCTGCCACAGTGGTGGGGATAGCGGCTGGACAATAATCGAGAGGAGTCTGTATATAATATTGAGGGAGATGGGGTGACACCATAGGTTACCGCACCGGACGACACCAATACTAGGAACGCCACCGTGTATATGTACAATCTTTTTTTACGTTCATCGTGAGAGAGATACGTTTTGTCCGGCCTGTTATTGGGGTTGATGGTTTCGTGTCACCTTGCGAGTTGATCAGTAACCATGTGAATATGGACGCCCAGTACAAATAATTATTGGAGAAACACCGCCACCAGCCGAGGATGCAGATCACCAGGTTCGCCGCCATGCAACAGGACGCCCAGGACAGGCCCTCGATCAGACCGCCGCTGTCCCCGTCCCTTTGCCACAGCCATATCGCCATTAGAACAATCTACAGTGGGTGATCGAATTATTATGAACAGATAGGGAAATTGCATATTTTATGGTTTCGATGTTATTATGACATCAATAACAATAAAGTATGCACTTTTCTTTTTTTCTTTTCTTAACGCAAAGATGCGCAATTTAACTATATTTTTGTATGGTCATGAATCAGTCTACAGTAAGATGCATATTTTTATGATAACAAGCTACCAAATTGTGCTACCGTTGATGGTTCGTAAAACAGAGGTGGCCAAAATGTAATCTAATTACAAAATCCAATGTAATTGCAAGAAAATTACAATTACACTGTAATTAACTACACTAAATTTACAACGAAAATTAGAAGGTAATTGTAAAATTACAGGGTAATTGTAATTGTCCTGCAATTACATTGCAATGACATTATAATTGAAATTTAGATTTTGTAATTAGATTACATTTTGTCCAACTCTGTTCGTAAATATGACCTGTTACTGCCGGTTTGTTTTTTTTTATGATTGTTGGTTTCCTTGATTATTATTTATTCTAACATTGTTAACCCTTTGCACTCGACTATCCTCTCTGAAGGAACAGAATGTATGGAAAATTAAGACTACTGAGTGCAAAGGGTTAAATTATATTTTCTCGAAAAAATATTAAAGGTATGCCTAGAAGAATTCGAGCGATTATATGTAGACGCGAAGGGTGGCGTGACGAAATATTGATATAAGGGTGTCCCAAAATATGTGCAAGTCCATGAAAGAGGTAATTCCTGGGATGATTTGAAACAACTTTTTCCTTAGGGAGAAAATTCTCAGTGGCTTCGTTAACGAGATATTAACGAAAAACCCCGACCAATCAGAGCGCGAGTCTGCCGGCTGAGTTCCTGCGGTAGCACGTAGTCAACGTTACTGTAGGAACTCAACCGCTCGCGCTTTGATTGGTCGGGGTTTTTCGTTGATATCTCGTTAACAAAGCGTCGGAGAACTTTTTCGCTAAGTAAAAAGTTGTTTCAAATCACCCCAAGAATCGCCTCTTTCAAGGACTTACAACTATTTTGGGACAGTCTGTATATACAATATATACATATATATTCTTTAAGAAATTAAAATCGGTGTCATATGTCAGTAAAAACAAAACGATATGTTCTGTAATAAAGAAGGTACTACAGTAAGTATATTTTGAATTCCGTTCTTGATCAAAATTCAAATGAGTGGTACTTCGTAGCATTCATAATAATTTGATCACCCACTATACACGCAGCATACCCGCGGATCAGAGATACTCGCTGTGTATACAGGGTGTCCCACGTGAGCACCTTAAATATCTTACATGCTTTTGATTTTCAGAAAATTGATTTTAACAAAATGGTTGCTCTAGTTCTTAATTGTTCTATCTTCACTATGTAGTTTCAAAACTGAGAAAACTGAGTTTAAGGAGGTATTCCCATTCGGAAGGGTCGAAAATCGATTTCTTTTTATTGTATTCTCTTTAAGTATAACCTTGAACATGTGTTATTGAAATGACGGAAAGTGAGACATTGTTTTTGAACAAATACGCTGATCGAAGTAATTGAAGCATATCCAATAGTCTGATTACTTGATAATATATAAGCTGGTAAATAGTCAAAGTATTCAATAGAGGATTAAGTAAAATTAAATGAAAGATCAGATGATATTTTTTATATTACCTTTAAGCTCAGATCGACGATATTCAGCATGATCAACGACTTCTGCCGTTGACGATTCGAGTAATGGAGGTAAGACGTCTCGAGCTGCTTGCTGTGGAAGCTGTTCGAGAGCGACGGACAAAATATTCCCTTATAGAGAACTCCTTTCTTGAAAACATCTGAAAATATCCAGGGGGTATTTATAACTCAAAGGCTGTACACGCATAAAATAAATTCATGAACGCGTACCATTAGCGGCGTAAATGATATAAAACGTAAATGACGAGGGCTGAAACAAAATGGCCGACCGAGGATCGAGTATTCTCTAGAATTTAAGGTTCTTATCTTGCGTTTATAGAATTAGGCAAATATTTCTGTTCTCTAATATTCAGCGGGACAATTTTTTGTTTGTATAATAAGTAGATTGAGGAAGTTTATGCAATTTCACAATTTCAGACAATAATATTTGAAATTTAAAGCAAGGTGGAATTTTGAATTCTGTACTAGAGATTTTACTATCGTAATAATAAAATTTACTTAATATTAACCTTTATTAAAATCTTTATTTTATTGTACTTTCCAAATTAAGGGATGCTATAAATGCATAAACATCCACAGTCTAATGATAAGTGAAGAGTCAATATTAGGTTAGCTCTTTTCTACTCCGGAAGCCTATTAATAGTCTTACCGACGTTGGTGCTTAATGACGAATATACAATATTATTACATATTCTTCTTTTAAATACAATGTACAAAAAGCTACAGGTACATTACACTACTATGCTTGCTCTATTGGTTCACGACCTTAATTTATTACTTCGAATGAAAATATCGCTATACCTTGACCATCAACTATACATATGTATATCACGAGTCCCTTATAGCTAATCAACACACTATAATTGTACGAGTTCACTGTATCTTATCCATTAACTATGTATAGTTAGTATGTGTCTTATGCACTAACTACAATTTCACAAGTTCATTACATTTTGTCCACCAACTACATTTTTACAGGTTCCTATGGCTTGTTTACCAACTGTAATTTCAGGAATTCGTTATTTGTGGATCGACTATAATTTTACAAGTGCACTATATATAGTCCACTAACTATAATTTTACGGGTTCCTTATGAGCTTATCCATCAACTATAAATTCAGAAGTTTCTTATATTTTATCGACCAACGGTATAATAATTTCACGAGTTCGTTATATCTTGTCCACTAACTATAATTTTAAGAGTTCCTTGTAGCTCAACCACTAATTATAATTTCACGAGTTCGCTATACCTTGTCCACTAACTATAACTTCATGAGTTTGCTATAACTTAGTCCACTAACTATAACTTCATGAGTTTGCTATAACTTAGTCCACTAACTGTAACTTCAAGTGTTCCCTACAGGTCACCCCCAACTATAATTTCATGAGTTTGCTATATCTTGTCCACTAACTATAATTTCACGAGTTTGCAATACCTTGTCCACTAACTATAACTTCATGAGTTTGCTATAACTTAGTCCACTAACTGTAACTTCAAGCGTTCCCTATAGGTCACCCCAACTATAATTTCATGAGTTTGCTATATCATAATCCACTAACTATAACTTTAAATGTTCCTTATAGCTCATACTCCAACTATTATTTCACGAGTTTGCTATATCATAGTCCACTAACTATAACTTTAAACGTTCCTTATAGTTCACCCTCAAATTATAATTTCACGAGTTTGCTATATCTTACTCCACTAACTATGTATGTATAACTTCAAGTGTTCCTTATAGCTCACCCCCAACTATAGTTTCACGAATTCGCTGTATCTCATCCATTAACTACAATTTCACGATCTTAATACATCTTGTCAATAAAATCTAAATACCTCTCTGCGTCTGAGCTTCGGTATCAACAGGCTGATCGGCAAGAACCACGTCCGGGTCGGTCGGAATCTCCCCGTCCTCGTTCGGGTCGCTGGAGTCTGACTCGTCCGCGACTTCCGGATCGTTGGTAGACTTCCGGTCCTCCCACGCCGCCAGTCCTTCCCTGCCCAGCCTCTCGGAAGTCAGTTTCTTCACAGCCTTGATCCATAATTGTTTCCTCGGGGAAATACTCAACCTACCATCCGACAGGAGAATTCGAAATTAACCACCAATAACGACGGAACTTCTTCGTTCACAGAGAACATTTAACACAACGTTCGACTGAGTGTTTAAACATTCATTATTTCGCTTTGTAACCTATCACCGATCAGCAGACTGCGGACATTTGCGCAAATTTTATACGAATTGCAGTTTGTAGAGACTGGAATCGAATAGAGATTTGTTTATTCTATCAAAAGTCCTAACAGATTTTTTAATAAAACGAGAATCTGATGAAATTTTATTTGACTTTTTGTGACACTGCGTTTTGGATTGTTGTGCATAGGGGGAATGGGGTAAAATCGGAAGCCTAAAGATAAAATTTTAAATACTGACATTAATAAATAGTCTGCGAAGGTTTATGCAGAATTCACACTTTCAAATACTAATATCTGAAACTTAAAATGAAACACAATTTTGAGTTTTGTACTAGAGGCTTTACTAGATTAATAATACCACATAGGGTGGATGCACCAGTAAATGATTGATTTTTTTGAATTCCTTGTTGCTTTTGAAAATGTTCATTTACTTAATATTGTTCATTCACTGGTGAAATCAGTATTTTTTTTCTTTAATTTAATTAACTACATTTTTGCAATTTTTTATATTTAAATCTATACGTTATAAAACGGTAAAGGTATTAAAAAATCTACTTTGCATGTGCCAAATATTTATTAATATTATTATCATTTAAAATTCGACTTAATAATTGCAAAAGCTCTTAAGTGTTCATTCATTGGTGCGTTTACCCTAAAAAGTATTAAATATTATTAAAACATTTGTTTTATTAGGAAACACTATAAACGCATAAACATCCCCAGTCTGTTAATAAAATACGAAATAAAATAAAATTGAGGTTTATTAAAAAAATCTCTTCGCCAAATGATATCTTACTTAGATCGAACTTTTTAGGAAGAAGAAAGATGCAAAAAAATAACGAATTTAATCATTTTGCTCCCTAGCATCTGTACCAATACTATTCATCCGATTCTCCAGACCCGTAATCACTTTATACAGTTTATTTACACTTTAATACACAACAAATAGAATGATTTAAAAAAAAAATACTTACCCAACAGTAGTTGTGAAGTATTAAAATGATTGAAAATTAGATTGGAGCGTCCAAAAACACAAAAAAACACAATACTTCTGCTAAGCACACGTCTATCGCGATCAACGTTCGTCGATGAACTGATGCAAATCTTTTGAAAATAATAGTGGGTCCCGATTTTACCCAGGTATGAATTCACGAAGACCGCGGTCTACTGATAAGGGTTAGGTCACTGGTCGGGATGCAATGAAAATTGGAAAAGGAATTTTTAAATTGTTGAAAGTTTTGAACGAATGTCACCTTAAAGACTGCGGACGCAAAATACAGTAAATTTATAATAGATAGTTGTATAACACAACAAATTTGGTCTCAGGTGTGCAGTCTTTAGACGACATAGACGCCGATGCCTGGGTCCATGTAAACCCACCTTCATCTTTCTCTATAAATGTATTTTGAAACGTGCTTCCGCTTAATTCTACTAGATCGACGTGCGTTTAGAGATGAACCGATTGAAGAAAATACAAGTAAATAATCGATATACTTTCGTTCCGATACCGAGTATTTTTAGTATCGATACTTTCGGTTTCGATATATACTCGGTATCGAAAAAAGTACTCATATCAAATGGAACGAGTAATCGATATGAAAGTTAATGAATGTAGAGGTGGTTGTTGTTGAGCTATATTATTTAATTGATAAATGTTCGTTAATAAAATATATCTTCGTTAAAATAGAGATGGGCGCTTTCATTATCCAAATAGAGTTTCGAATAACGAATAAAAGATGAAAAAGTACTTCGCCATTTTTTATTGTTTAAACGTGGAAATTCCAGTTTTTATAACAAAATAATACCTTTTTCCTGAATGAGTCAACATTTGGCAAACAATTATGCAGTTTTTCACTATGTATTATTCAAATAAAATTCTACTCAACTCTAGTTAAAATTTGTTAACAACGTTACCGCGGGAACTCGGCTGGCAGACTTGCGCTCTGATACGTCAGGATTTTTTGTTAATATCTCGTTAACAAAGCCTCAGATAACATTTTTGCTAAGAAAAAACTTGCTTCAAATCACCTCACGAGTGTCCGATTTCCGGTCCTTCAACATTTTTGTTACACCCTGTATGCAAACCGAACTTATTGTCATGAAAAATGTTATATCTACCTGAAAATGCTTTAATTGTTAAATAAAAGACAAACACTTTCGAAGGATTTTACGGAATTAAAACAAAAAGATAGACAATTGAAAGAGATATTGCAAACTTACTTTTGGTATATTATTTCAATAAAATAGTCGTATTAGGAAAACCGCTTACTGCTGGGTTTTAGCGACCACTGATCTGGAGGACAGATGGAATTTGTGTATAAATATGGGAGAAGAGGACTGTTGGTCGATTGGCATTTGTTTTATAACAATTGTTACTTTCGTCCCATGTTACGTTTGTCCCTGGTCTCCCCTACGTTACATTTTTCGAAAAAGAACACATTTTTCTTCGTTGTCAAGAAAAACATCAAGTTGCGTTTTTCATCGCGAAAAAAACACGTATGAATGATTTATAGTTTCCTTATCAGATCGAATATAGGAAAGCACAAGTGTCGTAAACCTGGATTAAAATGCACCCAGACACCGTCGTTAGAGGATTGACATAAGTCACATAAAATCATTTAATCAAAACGATTATATCTTCGTGAACAGAAAAAAGTGTGCGTATGAATACACAAGGTTTTTATTCGAGGTTATGTTAACACTTGTACAGGTAGAACGTAAGTCAACGGTCATTTGACTGTAACCAATGAATGTTCCAATATTAATGCAAGAACATAAACTCGAAGGTAGAAGTCAACGGTCATTTGACTGTAACCAATGAATGTTCCAATATTAATGCAAGAACATAAACTCGATTAATCCTGTGTTATGCGTATGTGTGTGTATAATATACCACCGAGTGTGTGATATCATGTCGGAACATCTGTTAACGTGGAACTTACCGAACAGTGTTATTGTGTTAATGATGTGTCGCATTAAACAAAGAAAGAATTCAGTCTTCTTTGCATGTACGTGTACGAACTATCGTCCAAAAATTCGGTGGTAATTATCTCTGCAGAATTTGAACTTGATAAAAAAATTGATGAAAAGATACTTATTAAGATCTACAAGAATGGCTTTGACAACGGGTATAGTTAGATAAGGGGTCAAAAGTGCCCTTAGATCGATTTGGACTTGTGACATACCATTCGATAGATTAACAAGAAAAAAGATGTGTACCAATTTTCAAACGTCTACTTCGACCAGGAGGGTAGTAATAGGAAAAATTCGGATTATGCGGTTTTTCTTCTATTTCCTCTATGTAATTGCATGTAAAAATTCTGATAGATAATATTTATCGGGCCACGTGTTGGAAAATATTTCGCGATTTTTTGGTTGAGAATCCTAGTTGTCAAAAATAAAAAACACAGATTAATTCTGAAAAAAGTTCTTTCTTACCGAAATTTTGAAGCGACTACATTTATACATATAACTACAGTAAGAATATATCATGACCAAGTATTGTCCTGAACTTTTTAAAGATTTTTTGGTAGGTTCCATCATAGTTTTAAAAATCAAAAACCGATATTTTTAACGTTTTTTCCATGAAAAAGTAATTTATACTTTGAATTTTTGTATTTCTTTTATTACGTAAGTAAATTATACGATTTTAAATATTTCCATGTCCAAGAAAAAAAAGAATTTTCCCAATTACTACTTCCCTGGTCGAGGTAAAGGGTTGAAAATTCGTACACATTGTTTTTTCTTGGAAAGCTATCGAATGGTATATTACAAGTCTAAATCGGTCTAAGGGCATTTTGGGTCCCCTTGTCTGACTATACCCTTTGTAATCACATTTTTACATTCATTTCAGTTACCAGAAAAAAGTATCTCAAGAAATCTGTATTTACATGAACATCCACCTACTACATTTAACTATTAGGTTGTTGCATAATAAATGTTGATTCTCAATATTGGCTTCATTTTGTGTAGGTGCCTAAGAATTGTTGAACATGGGATCAAGAAGCACGTGACTCGTTGGTAAAAATCTGTTGAATCAAATGGATTTTTTTTTAATGAATATTTTTCAACTTAAGACAAGTTGTAATCGTTCAAATTCTTTAGTTCTAAGCAGACACTTATTACGCAACAACCTAACTAAAATTCCATACACCTAAAATGGCTGTACTTGTAGTACACCTCGTTTTGTTCCATCTATTACGAAGAACCACTCCACCATAAAACGTAAAAATAAGAAAATACACTGAACGACTAATAATTCACTGCCACAAGTCGATGTTTATGTGTCAGCACGTAGCGAATTTTAACGAGGAATACAACTGTATAGCTTCTACGGATGGGTTTCTCGAAATATCGAAAGTAGAACTGTAAGTATTCGGATATTCGAACTATTCGAATAATTCTAATAGTACGAAGTATTCGAATAATTCTAATAGTACGGAGTATTCGAATAATTCTAATAGTACGAAGTATTCGAATAATTCTAATAGTACGGAGTATTCGAATATTTGAATATTTATACTATATGTATAATTAAATATTCAAATATTCAAATATACTTATCTACATAACCAACGAAAAATCGGAGAAAATTCTGTAACGCTTGCCCCAATATTTGCAATGTATGATATTGTTTTCAGACAACTAGCATGTTTCTGAATAGGGAAAATGCAGGAATAACAATTTTTATTCAGACGTTATATCGCAATACAGATAGTATATTATTAAAAATAGTCCGAATTACGTTGTGTTTGGACTCATTTTCAACAGGAGAGTCTCCTCGATTTGTTCGTAACACTTTCATAAAAATATATATTAAAAAATGTAACAGTTAAAATTTGAATTCTCGCGTGACTCCTTATCTGCTTACTTTGTACCAACACTCTTGATATCTATAATCAAATTTTTCTCTAATCTTCTATTTTAGACTTTACAAATTTTATAAGATATTTCTCGAAACGTTTCTCGAGAAATTGAGAAATAAAAAATTTTACTTTTTTTTTTGAGAAATTCTCAAAAAAGAATTCTTGAGACCACTCGATACCCCAAATTATTGGACGACAGTATAGTATACATATATTGTACTTCTTTTCCAGGTGTAAATGAAAGAGGGAAACAAAAAAATATGAAAAAAAAGAGCAAAATGGGACGCGGAGCAGGGAATTCGAGTTGACACGAATACTTACTCATTGATGCCCGCGACATCGCTGTCCAGCATCATGCTCCAGGTCTGTTCTGTAATCATTATCCCCCGGATGATCCGCGTAAACGAACAACCTTTGCTCACGTTGTGATTGTCAGCTGTGCAATTGCCTTAGTATCCGGCATTTTCACAACACCTTAAACCAGAACTTGTTAAGAGACGAAGCGAATATCTCGGCGCGCCCAGCGTGGTCTCGAACCGATCTTTTTTTTGTTTCTCCTTTTCCGAAATCACGGCCGTCGATTTAATTGGCTTAATTTACTAACGGATGTATTTTATTAAACAAAGAATTCAATGATGTCTGTAATACTATTTATGTGTTATCATTAATGTAATAAAGCCTCCAGTACTGAATTCAAAATTCTATCTCGTTTTAAATTTTCATTTTTTTTTTTGTAACATTCCAAATATGGAATATGATAAATGTACTAGTGCAAATAGCTGTTTTTTTTATTTAATTTTTTCATCATAACGAAAGCGCCTGAATCAATAAGAAGAATAAATCTATTTTTTGTTTATTTTCCTTGAAAATATTGTATCTGATGTCAGGATTCCATATTTGGGTACCTATTCCATATTAGGTACGATTTATGTTTCTTTTTTTACTGTCAGGTTCAATATTAAACATTGTTCGTAACGGTAAAAATATAAGACTGCTCTTAAATTAAGCGTAAATATATGACTGGAAAATAGATTTTGTAAAAATGACATTCAAAAAACGAAATGGTATTCCACATTTGGCGACTTTCCTCTAATCTAGTGACGCCTCTAGTACAGATTTCAAAATTCTGTCGAATTATAATTTTTACTCGTAGATATTAGTGTATCTGAAATTAGGAACTCTGAATAACTTTCCAAATTCGTCATTCTACGAATCCATAACTTTTGCTATCCGTCATCGACAAATTTCGTTCGTTGTCTCTTTTTCTTTTCGTTCGGTTACCCGAGATATCGCGATCGTCTAGGCGATTTCGAACGATTTTATACGATTCGATTGTTTTCTGTTAACATCCCATTTTTAAGATCACTGTGTAGAATATACATATAACATTCTGTCGTGTCACTTTTGTACAAAGTAATCTTGTTGATGGGTCACTTCACGCGAAATCGGACACGTTTTGGAGTAACATTTCGGATTTTGTTGACACTTGGATATGTTGTGGTCTTTAATGATATATAAACATGTCTCGGAAGATTATTCAAAACTAAAAAATTCTTGATTTTACAGCCGTTTGAAATATAGTGTCAACCTTTTTTCGCCAATTTTAAAGTGTCCATATTATTGCAAATTTGTCTATAAAGATGACAAATAGGACTATATCCTCAACTTTTTTCAAATTTTTCAATGTTGTCCCGCTATTATAAAATTGCATTTCTAAAAAAATTGTTTTAAAAAACAATTGCAAGATAAATGGTTAAAAAATATGTTTTTTTAACTGAAATAATTTTTATTAAGTACTCTTATGTCTCCACTGTAAGCACCCACAAAGTTTATTTTAATCAGTTTCTTAGTTCAATAGTTATGATTTATTGAAAAAAGATTGACACTATACAGTTGTAAAATCAACAATTTTCAAAAAGTTCAAAAATCGTCCGATATATGTTTGCATACCACTAAAGACTACAATGTATTCAAATTTCAAGAAAAATCTGAAATGTTACTCCGAAAATTGTCCGATTTTGCATGAAATAACCGTGTTTTGAATGAACAGAAACGAGGTGACACTCCGCCACGCAAATGATTGGTATCTATCGCGTTTAATGAATTGTTACATCCCCCTTGGTGTCCGGGAAAGAAGGTTCCGCGACGAGAGGAGGAACACAAAAAAAACAATATTTGTAAAACAAAATAGGTAAAAATATTTGTTTACATTCCGACAGGTTGATCGACAATTTCGAATTAACATAAATAACAGTTAGAAATGGTCAGAAATGAATTTTTAATTTAAAGATAATTCCTTATAGTTATCGCGTAACGGTTTTTAAAAAGTAAAGATAAGAATATTCGTTCATTTCCTGTTGTTTTGGTCGACGATTTCGAATCGTTTTAATTATGGCGTCGTTGAATTTGAAAATGGCAGTTACAACGGTGCATAAATTCACTTTTAGTCGAAGGACAATTCAATGTAATTATTGTGTAACCTTTTTTTAAGAATAGTAAGTAAGAATATTTGTTCATTTCCTGTCGTTTTGGTTAACGATTTCGAATTGTTTCAATGATGGCGTCGTTGAATTTAAATACTGCGGTTACAGGCAGTGAGAAACTTATTTTTAAAATGTTCAATATAATCGATGGTTAATTTCGAAGAACTGTCGTACAATATTTTCTACAGAATACGAGCATGTTTTTCCTTTATAATCGTCGTACGCAAGTAAGTTCTTTTAGAGTCTGTGATCGAATATTTCGAATTTTAGCCATGGTGACGTTATATTTGAAAATAACGGTTATAAAGGGAATTCAATTTTATAATTTCTTCACAATGACGCTTGAATGTTATTGCTTGCATCTGTATAACAATATTCCTTTAGATTCTACTGCATCGATTAGTTATTTTTACTCATTCCGGTTGTTGCAACGTACAATTTCGAAATAACCGTTACAAACATCATGGAGGTGACTTTACTATACATTAAAATGAATGAACTATTTATATCTTGAACTCAATGTTTCTGAGAAATTACTCCACATTACAGTCAAATACTTCATGAAGGATTTATAAAGGCAATGTTACTCCAAATTCTATCAAAATCATTGAACCGTCTCAAACATTTTCACCCTTAACAACGGTAAATTTGAATCTTACCGTTGAGAACAAAAACTAACGTACATCTGAAGTCTTCAACATACACTACCATTCAAAAGTTTGGAAGCTGTCGTGTTTTTTCGTTAAACAAAATTATCCTTTGTTAATTAGTTGAAAGTAAAGAAAAAAAATCAATTTTCTAATCACATTTCTCAAAAATCTGTTTTGTACTATGTGTTCTGCTTGTGTGCGTGTTCTGTTATTTGTGTGTGTGTGTGTGTGTATGCCACACGATTCTGGGTGTATATTAAAGCAAAATGGAAAAACATAAATAAAGAATACTTTAAAAGTTAGTAAATAGAATTCCCAGAATTCGATTGAAAGTTATTTGAAATAAAGGTGGTTATTTTGCTGAGGCAAAAATTTGATAAGAATAAATTTTTTGGTTACTTGTAAGTTGAGTTTGTCGTGTATAATAAATATAAATATATACATAAACCTATACATATAGTATATAAGCCTTTCTAATCAAAAAAATCTGTAAATTGACTTTTTTGACTTTTAATTGTACTTAACCGCTTTTCAAACGTATGAATGATAGTGTACATACTTAAAACTTCGTTGGCGGGAAGGTTTTTCTATTCACAAATATACAACTTCAGGTGCTCCAAAAATATTTAGAAACGACTTAATTTTTATTTGTGAAATTTTATATAGAAAAATCGATTTTTCCCCTTTTTTTCTATTTTACTTTCGTTTTTGAAAAGACCGTACTACGTCATCCGTCATCAAAGTGTTAACAAACATTGTACAAACCATTGTCCACAAACTATAGCAACGAATATTCTTCCAAACTGAACAAAACAAACCGATAGTCGACAACAACGCAGAATACGAAAAACAATCGCTTCAAAAGTATATATCTAAAACTGGTTCACACTGCACATTCCGGAAACGTCCAATAGGTCACTCACAAGTGGAAACGCTACGTTTCCCATATATAATCCCAAGAAAAAACCGACGAACGAATTTCGAACCCGTTTCAACGATGACGTATCAGTACGAAAAAAAAAATGGCGGACACCAAGGCGGTTCTCTCTCTCATGTGTCTGTATAAGTACTACAGTGGGTAAAAAAAGTAGTTGCACATCCTTTAAACCAGAACATCTCTTTAAAATTGGACCAAATGACTTAAGTATTTTTGTATAGTTAGAAAGATTAGTTTACGAAATGATATGTAAAAAAAATGTTGAAAACGTTCCAGTAGGTCCGAATTGCGAAGGGAATAGTAAAGGTCGCTTCTTACAACTTTTTTATCTGAGACTGTAATAAAAATTTCAAAAATACTTTTCTTAGATTTTCGTTCGTTATAGGGTGTCCCAAAATAGATGTAAGTAAAACTAAACTTTTTCCTTAACGAAAAAGTTCTCCGAGGCCTTGTTAACGAGATATTAACGAAAAACCCCAACCAATCAGAGCGCGAGTTAGCCGGCTGAGTTCCCGTGCTCTGATTGGTCGAAGTTTTTCGTTAATATCTCGTTAACGAAGCCTCGAGGAACTTTCTCGCCAAGAAAAAAGTTGTTTCAAATCACTCCAGGAAGTGCGCCTTTTCAAGGAATTACAACTATTTTAGGACACCCTATATACATGCTAAAAATTTCATCGAATTAATGTTTGCTGTGAGATACAAACGGTTACAAGTGTTAAACATCGCAGTTTCTCGCGACATTTCGACTCACAACTGTAGTAAATCAAAACACTCTTACGTCATTCGGTGCCTGTCGCTCGGTTCGTTATCAACCGATTTCAATGAAAGTTTCCGTATGTATACAACTAACATAAATCTTCAAAATGTATTTATTCAATTTTCATTACAGCCTCAGATAAAAAACAGTTTCAAAAAAACGACCTTCGCTATTTTCTTCGCGGTTCCGACCAATTGCAACTCTTCTAAAATTTGGTTCACACGTCCTTTAGCATACGAATCATTCCAACCTCACGGAAACAAATAAAGTCACTTGGTCCAATTTTCGAAAAGTCATTCTGTTTTATAGGGTGTGCGAATACTTTTTTACCCATTGCATACGCAGAAGATCGTGAATTACCGACGAATCAAATTAGCTGGACCACCTCGTCCGCTTCTAATCACACAAATTTTCATTATTCGATAAATCGATCACATTAGCATCGTCCATCGCGTGACGAACCCAGATAGCACATAACGCCTAAGGACGTCTTGAAGACGGCTTAAAGACGTCTTAGACATAAAACAGCCGTAAAACGGGCGTTTTCAAGGCG